TACTCTGCTGAAACAAGCTTGCGCTGCATAAGAAGCTCAGGAAACTGCACGCCAAATCTCAATAGTTTCCGAGATCTCAGCGTTCATCCGGATAGACATACGGACAGACGGACACACGGACAAACGGACAGACGGACATGGCTAGATCGACTCGGCTAGTGATCCTGATCAAGAATATATATACTTTATGGGGTCGGAAAGGCTTCCTTCTGCCTGTTACATACTTTCCGACGAATCTAGTATACCCTTTTACTCTACGTGTAACGGGTATACATATGGTATAACTCTAAAAATTATGCTGCTTTCAAATAAATTGTGTGCAGTGTAAAAGCTATATAATGAAACTTGGCAACTCTCATTTTACTTAGGTATATTTACATGTATACCTTGAACATGATCAAAGTTCCCGCCGATCAAGGGACCATATCATTTACCTGATAACAAAGCAACGATTTGATTGTATGTATTGTATTGAATTGTATTTATTTGTATTGTATTTATAATATTTGAGACACATTTTAAAACAAGGGTATTTATTCTTGGGCTGAACGAGGTAAGCTTCCTGACAATTTCTCAATAACACAATAAATGAAAACTGTTGGATTAAGAATAAACACAATCTTACGAATTTACAGAGTACTTTACAGACCTTCAATGTCAATTTGAATCAGAAGTATTGTGTGGCCCAAAAGGGCATTAAGCATTACAAAAATTTCAAATCGATCAATTTTAAATAACCCAAGATATCGAAGCCTTAATGGATTTCGGGCCAGGTTCAGAGTGAAGCCATCGATCTGGAAAAATAATTTTAAACTTAAAAATCATAATTGTTCTCATTTTGTTTTACTTACTACTGCCTCTAACCTCTGATCCAAACCTGGTTGAAATAATGTCCGCTGGCCTAGAAGTTGGATCATCTCTTCATGGGTATCCCGCAGACCAACTATATTGGAGGCGTTCATCGAGAAATCGACGAAGTAAAGTACAATAAGAGTAGTGTAAACAAACATTACGAACTCGGGGGAGATCATTGATATAAAATTGTATTTAATTAAGATTAATACGAAATATAAGTATACCACCAGATGTAAATAGTAGGCGATGACCAAGGAGGCAACCTGAACTTCGTAGACTCTAGTCAATCGATCGATGAACGCTTGTAAGTCAGATTGGGATTTAGCTATTTTCTCAAAGCGATCGGCAAGGCTGCAACATGTGGTTATAAAAACTCCAATACGGTTGGGATTCAAGGATCGAGTTTCTGATATAAGCGCTTGCAACTCTTTGTTCAGGAGGATATATCGCCCTCGAATACTCGCCATGGCCATGAAGTACTGCATTATGATCACATGTACAACGACCGTCGTGCTAAAGAGGCCCCAAGTACCAAGGGCCATTTTCAAAGTTAGCTGCTTCCGCATCGTAAGCATAGTCTTCACAATATGCACAGTATCCACCGTTGAGACGCAGAATATCTTGTTAAGGATTCTTCTCTGGCAGTACGGAAGTATCTCCGGACTGTACTGGCGACGGAACGCATCGAAGATCTGCATAAATTCCTCACGATTCCACCATCGACTGGCTAAAGTCAGGAAAATGCACATTATGCGAAACACTGATAGAACTATTAGCACGTATTCCTGAAGACGATTCGGCAACTCCCAAGTTTTCACTATTTCATGTAGGTTGAGCACACAGACAGTCAGCATGCTAAAAATAACTAGGTTTGAGCAGACTGCACATATTGAAGCTCGCTTGGTAACTTGAGCTCGACCCGTTTTAAAATCGATCTCAAAGTTTAACAAGCCAGTTAGACGTCCAATAAAATACGAATAGGATAAACACCATTTGAATAAGTCCACCATTGTTTTATACTGAACATTGCCTTCGGAGAATTTTCACTAGTTTAGCCAATTCTCTGACTCAAATGTCAAGGCTGAGTCAGAATTTCTGACATGTGTGACTAATTGATTCAATTAAAATATGATATCGTGTCATCAGAACCCATCTAATTTATCGACTTAGTAAGGACGGATTCAGGATTAGATAGTTGTGGTGGCTTTTTTCCCAAGAGAGGAGATATGACCGATCCTTTAAACTAATTAATTAATTTGGATCTCCTATTACTAACTGGGTAAATCGATATAGCAATGTATGTATTATTGAAGCCTTCGATTCTAAACTTTCCCAATTGCCTTAAGAAATGTGCATGCAGATCAAATTTGTAGATTAATCTTTTCTTGAGCATCTCTATAGGGGAAATCGAAGCGCAATATTTAAAAAAACAAGGAAGAACTCTATAGTCGAGTACCTCGACTATAAGATACCCAGAAAAAGGGACCAAAGGGAGACGGATATATGCAATCCGCAAAGCGAGATTGTAATGCGCCACCCACACGCTATCTCAATATAAGGTTATGTGGGCGGCATGTGGGCGCTAAAGTCCGTTAAACTTTTTTTAGGTCAATAGTTAGGTATTGATGGGAACAATACATTTCAGCTAAAATTTTTATTCTAACATCAAAACTTTAGGACCCACAGTTTTGGGCGGTTTGTGGGCGTAAGAGTGGGCGTGGCACGCTGCTGAAACAAACTTGCGCTAAGTAAGAAGCTCAGGAATCCTCATGCCAAATCCCAAAAGCCTAGCTTTTATAGTTTCCAAGATCTCAGCGTTCATCCGTACGGACAGACAGACGGACAGTCAGACAAACGGACAGACGGACATGGCTAGATGGACTCGGCTAGTGATCCTGGTCAAGAATATATATACTTTATGGGATCGGAAACGCTTCCTTCTGCCTGTTACATACTTTCCGACGAATCTAGTATACCCTTTTACTCTACGTGTAACGGGTATACATATGGTATAACTCTAAAAATTGTTGCTTTCAAATAAATTTTGTGCTGTGTAAAAACTATATAAAGAAACTTGGCAAATCTCTTTTTTGGTAGGTATATTTAGATGTATACCTTAAACAGATGTATAACTCCCCGCCGATCAAGGAACCATATCATTTAGCTGATAACAAAGCAACAACAAAGCAATAATTAGTTTATTTTAAGACATTTTCTTTTTTTGCTGTTTTTATTTTATTACTATATTTATTTAAACATAAGTTATACAAGGGTGTTTATACATTGGCTTAACGAGGTAAGCTACCTGACAATTCCTTATTAACACAATGAATGAAAACTGTTGGACTAAGAATAAACACAATCTTACGAATTTACAGAGTACTTTACAGACCTTCAATGTCAATTTGAATCAGAAGTATAGTGTGGCCCACAAGGGCATTAAGCATTGCAAAAATTTCAAATCGATCAATTTTAAATAACCCAAGATATCGAATCCTTAATGGATTTCGGGCCAGGTTTAGAGTGAAGCTATCGATCTGGAAAAATAATGACAAATTTAAAAATCGTAATTGTTCTCATTATGTTTTACTTACTACTGCCTCTAACCTCTGATCCAAACCTTGTTGAAATAATGTCCGCTGACCTAGAAGTTGGACCATCTCTTCGTGGGTATCCAGCAGGCCAACTATATTGCAGGCGTTCATCGAGAAATCGACGAAGTAAAGTACAATAAGAGTAGTGTAAATAAGCACTACGAACTCGTGGAACATCATTGATATAAATACGAAATATAAGTTCGCCACCAGACGTAAATAGTAAGCGATAACCAAGGAGGCAACCTGAACTTCGTAGACTCTAGTCAAACGATCGATGAACGCTTGTAAATCAGATTGGGACTTAGCTATTTTCTCAAAGCGATCGGCAAGGCAGCAACATGTGGTTATAAAAACACCAATTCGGTTGGGATTCAGGGATCGAGTTTCTGATATAAGCGCTTGCAACTCTTTGTTCAGGAGGATGTATCGCCCCCGAGTACTCGCCATGGCCATAAAGTACTGCATAATGATCACATGTACAATGACTGTCGTGCTAAAGAGGCCCCATGCGCCAAGGGCCATGGACAAAGTTAGCTGCCTCCGCATCATAAGCGTAGTGATCACAATATGCACAGTATCCACCGTTGTGGCGCAGAAAATCTTGTTAAGAATTCTTTTGCGGCAGTACGGAAGTATCTCCGGACTGTATTGACGACGGAACGCGTCAAAGACCTGCATAAATTCCTCACGATTCCACCATCGACTGGCTAAAGTCAGAAAAATGCACATTATGCGAAACACTGACAGAACTATTAGCACGTATTCCTGAAGACGATTCGGCAACTCCCAAGTTTTCACTATTTCATGTACGTTCAACACATAGAGAGTCAGCATGGTAAAAATAACTAGGTTAGAACAGACTGCAATTATTGAAGACCGCGTGGTAACTTGAGCTCGACCCGTTTTGAAATCGATCTCAAAGTTTAACAAGCCAGTTAGACGTCCAATAAAATACGAATAGGATAAACACCATTTGAATAAGTCCACCATTGTTTTATACTGTATATTGGTTTAGCCAATTTTCAAACTCAAATGTCAGAGCTGAGTCAGAATTTCTGCCATGTGTGACTGGTTGATTCAATTAAAATATGATATCGTGTCATCAGAACCCATCTAATTTATCGACTTAGTAGGGACGGATTCAGGATTGGATAGTTGTGGTGGGTTTTTGTTCCCCAGAGTCGAGATATGACCGATCCTTTAAAGCAAATTGTTATTGGATCACGTATTACTAACTTGGTAAATCGATACAGCAATGTTTTTTTTGAGCTATCGATTTTTAGCTTATGCAATTTTCTTAAGATATGTTCGCGCAGATAAAGTTTTTTGAATATGCAGACGTCTTAATCTTTTGTGAGCATTTCTGTAGAGTAAATCGATAAGTGATTTATAAAAAAAAAATATTATTTCTGGATTAACGCATTTTATGTTTTTAAGTGCAGAATCTTTAAAATAGGATAGAGAAACAAAGAAAATTTCTGTATAGTTAACTCAATTCCATTTAATAAGCCATGTATTGAAAGTAAATTACATTGTTATATATGTTTTATTCAAGGAAGTAAAATAATCAATTATATTTGATAGATGGCCAGATGTTAGGATCTTACTATGGAAAAACCATTACAAATTTGACACACTAAAATTTAGTTCCAGTTCTTCAGTTAGGCCTTCGCTTGTTCCTCTAGGATGGGGATCTTTAGATGAAGTAGATCTAATCATTTTCCTCTTTTTCGTCACAGTTGCAGCACTTCTTCTTCTTGGTAGTCTCGGTTTTGGGTGGACATGCTCCGGCCATGCTGACGGGATCTGCCAGTGGGAACTGTTTGTTATATAACGGTTTGGGTCCACGTTCCGCCGGATAATCGGAGGGCATGTGAGCCTTGCAGGGACCGCATTCGGGGCCACCACCACCGGTCATCACTCCCTTGCTGTTACCACTCTGGACACCCATGCCACGCATCTGCTGACCACCACCGGCTCCTCCGCCTCCCTTGGAGCACTCACAATCATCATCATGGGGAAACGAGGGTCGGTTGGTGCCCACCGAATGGGTGGAGCGCCAGTCGGTCTGGGATTCAGTTGTGATACCTCCACAATGGGGACATATAGAGCTGGCGGGTGGTGCTGGTGGTGGTGGTGGTGGTGCTCTTCCTTGAACCTGACCTTGACCTTGACCCGCCGAACAAGCGCAATCCTCTGGAGCTTCGTATTGCTGTGGCTTCGGCTGAGCGCATTCCGGAACGGGAGCCTGCTGCATCTTCTCCGCTCCACCATTGCAACCGCAATCCTCTTGCGGAGGATCCGGGCAATCATTCCTGCCACAACCATCGCATTCGGAGTCCCTCGGCGTCTCCTTTTCCGCGGGGCACCCGTCGTCCACCTTGTCGGTCACTGGGAAGTAGTGACCCGTCAGGGGGTCCTGATCATGTTGCTCCTTTGGGTCCTCCTCGCCCATGCAGCCACATGGTCCCTCTGATTGCTGCTGACTCTTGAGATGATGCGAGCAATCCTGCGGCTGTGGCTTCGAGGTGCAATCCTGTTGCTTCTGTTCGCACTGCAGCTGTTGCTGCTGTCTTTGGAACTCCTGTTGCTGTTGCCGCTGCTGCTGCTTGCAATCCTGTTGCTTCTGCTGCTGCTGCATCTGCTGCAACTCCCGCTCGTCCATGGAGCACTCGCAGTCGTCCTCTTTGAGTGGTTGCTGTCGTGGTACAACAATGAGTCCAGCTCCCTTTTGGTGCTGCTCGGAGCAAGGACAATCCGGATCGTGCTGCACTCCCAGAGTTCGCTGCTGTGGCTGCTGAGATCCTATGCCGCCGGAGCAATCCTGATCTGGAGGAGATCGCTGCATTTGCGTCTGCGATTGCTGGTGTTTCTGCGTTCCGCACACTCCACAACTGGCGGCACTTGGAGCCCCTTTTGCCGAGGAGGAGCAATCCCTGCCCTGCATTCCTGGCTGTTGCTGCTGGGATCTCGCTCCGCATGAGCAATCAGGTCCATGTTGTCCTGGTTGCATCTGTGATCTCTGCATTTGAGCTTGGGATTGCTGTGGGTTTTGAGATCCACAAACGCCACAGCTCCCTGCATTTTTGGCTTGCTGTTGCTGTTTCTGTGGTCCACAAACTCCGCAGCCTCCTGCATTACTACCCTGCACTTGCTGCTGTGATTTCTGATGTTGCTGGCCTGCTCCTGGCCCACAGGAGCAGCTTCCATCCAATCCTGCATGTCCTTGCTGCGCCTGAGATCTTTGCTTTTGGGCAATGCCGCAGGAGCAACCATCATCCGTCTGCTGCTTCTGGTGACCATTACTCCCAGAGTTGCGTGTACTCGTGCCAGTGGAGGATTTGTTGGATGCGGCACCCACTGCAGAGGGAGCACCACATATACAGGACTTCTTGGAAGGCTGCTCCTCCATGTTCGCCTCGCTGGTGATGATGTACTCGTTGCCCCTGGCCGTCTTCTCCCCTCGGGCCTTGCACTTGCACCCCTCGTCCAGGTCGTCGGCCAGGCTTATGTCCTTTCCGTACTTGCAGAGGAACTCGATGACCACCCCGTTGGTCCAGCCGTAACCCACTGGAGTGTGCTCTGGACAAGCCCCTCCGGAAGTGCCGAATTCCTCGCAGAAGTACTGGAACAAGAACGGGAAAACGTGATTAGGGGACTGCCATTTTACACGGAATAATTTTTGAAAGGCAGGTCTTTCTCTGACAGGCTCTGAGACCTGTATGACAATGTGGCAAACGTGAAAGTTGATTCTATGACATGGTGAAGGTCGTAAAATATATTTCATTAAGTAGAGTTCTGGTGAGTTAACTAAGAAGAATCAATTCCATGTTTGATACATACAATATATCAATATATAAAGGTAAAAGCAAAAGAAATTCTCGACATAACTTTAAAAATACCAGGTGCAATACTATTTGCGCGAAAACAAATGATGTAAGCGTCATCTTTATATATAACTACCAGCCTTAATTTCATCAATTTTTTAAATAATTGATCGAATCATTTAAAAATATAACGATTAATTGTCTTTCAATTAAAAAGCATCGATGTTTTATATACTAGACCAACTTACCTTCTCGAACATGAAGCTTTCGTACTTGTAGGCTGCATAATTGGACTTCACCCAGCGATGGGCCCACCGTTTGGACATGGCCTTGGCCTGCGGAGTGCCCAGGTTATCTAGTCCCTCGACGACCAGGAACATCATGGGCGGGAAGACATTGGGGTAGTCCCACTTTTGGCCCGATTCCTTGTTCATCGTATACGGTACGCCCCCATACTGCTCATCCAAGTTGTTGGTTCTGATGTACTGGATCACACCCTTGGATACCTTATCGGTGTCCACCAGGGGAAAGGCCCTGGCCCACAATGGAGCAAAGTTGGTGCAACAGAAGTAGTTCCTAGGCTTATTGTTTACCAGATCGTAGTCAAGCCAAATCCCAGCCTGGGCGTTCCACAGATTATCCCTAATGGCCTTTACCAAAGCACAGGCTTTATCCTGATACTCATCGGCCTTTTGGGTATTGCCCGCCTTGCGATTGAACTCTGCTAGAATCTTGCCACTTCGAAAGACGATGGCATTCAGTTCCACGGGCACAATGGCAGAGGTTTTGGTGTCCCTGAGGGATCCCTCATTGGAACCATCAGCAGTGACAAACCAACGAGAACTGAACTCCATGCCAGATTCGGAGGCCGACTTGAGTTCAGTGTACATAACCTCACGGGACACAGGAGACTGAATGCGGGCCACACTCTCCAGATCTTCTCTATAAGCCTCGGGTCTCGGACCCGCAGAAGAATCCCTGTATTGATACATGGTCTTGCCTTTCACCTGAACCGAATGTTTGCTTATAAAGGTATCGTACTCGGTCTCCAATAGGGGCAATGATTTAATGGCGTACTTCTCATCCCTGGTCACCTCCACATAGGCCTTGACCATCATTATCAAGAGAGGCGGATTCGTGCGACCCGAACAGTAAATCCTTCCACATCCAGGCACAAAACCATATTGCTGAACCAGTGACAAAAAGTTGTCTATCATTCCACGAGCTGTTTGATGCATGCCACACTGAAGTAAGCCCCGAACAATCCAAAACGAATCCCAATAGCGATACTCCCGACAATCCGAGGAGGGTACTATAAAAGGGTTGGGGGTGTAGAGTATGGAATAGTGATCGGGGTTCTCCTTGACTTCATCTTTAATCCGCCGCCCCAACTGCCTCCACAGTCGATTGACATCCGATCCGAACTGTTTTATTTCGGGATCAGAGATCCTGATGAGAAACGAGGGCTGGGCCTTCCAATCCGGCGGAACCCAGGGTTCCAGCTCCGAACCTGGATCATTAAAGTGTTTCTAAGGGATACAAAAAAGTTCATATTATTATTATGTTTAAAGCAAAGAAATATTACACATTCTATAAGCAATATATAATGGGATTTCCAAAGTTTAGAAGGAGTTTAAACAAGGTTTTATTTCTGCACATAAAAAAACACTTGATATTATCAATAAATGCTCTATATTAGATATAATAATAAAATAATAAATCTATGTTTTTGATAATATCGCTAACTCCCTTTCCTGCATAAATAAGACATGATAATATTAGTATATTACAATATAACAAAATTGTTGTGTGCGTTTCTAAAATTCCGACAACAGATTTCTTTAACCCCCCATATTATATAGAACTTTGCCTCTTTTACCTCGACAAACATTTGCAGGAACCTCAGGGAGCCATCGTTCTTGCGGCAATTGCTGAACATATTGAAGTCGGCCAGCGTTTGGGCAGGTGTGAAAATGCAGCTCATGTCCACAAAGTGTTTGCAGTCGGGAAACAACTTTGACCTCTGGACAGCATCCAGCAGGGGACCCTCGCAGAAAACACCCCTAGGGTGGGAAACATCACATAGCAACCATTTAGGGGGAAGTCAAAAATCCAGGACCTTCCAGGACTCACCTGTTCTCCCCGCCCAGAGTCAGTGCACCGCAGCGGCACTTATTTGCCATCTTCTACGAACGATTTTTGAGTGTTTTTAGGCAAAGGCCAAGCTGAGTGACTGATAACCAAGCCGAGTTCGGTTTTGGGCCGAAAACTGAATCCCAGGCAACTGGGATATTTGGGGTGTTCTGGGGTGGCATAAATCAAAAAAGCGAGCAGCAGCCTCTGTTATATTGACCATTAAAGCAAATTTGTCGACATTTGCCATTAAGAGTCAACAATGCTCGGCCATAAATCAGCGTAAATAGACAGGAAGCGCCTGCGAATCCTCAGCTCCTTCCAGGGCCACACATTTATTTTAAATTACCATAAATGCCCCTGACCGAAAACGAAAGCAAAACAAGAGCAGCGTGGCGAACTTTGCCTAAAAGCTATTGGCCTCTGTGTCCATTTGTAATTTCCAGACGATTTATCAAACCAGCCAAAAGCGGCCAGGGGAAGTCGAAGGCCAGAAGTCGGAGGTCGGAGTGGAAATGGGAATGGAAATGGCGCAGAAAATGCTCTTCAAGTGGCCATGGCCATGACCATGGATGGCCGGCAGATTTGAGTTCAAATAAAGTAAAAATTCTTTGATTCCTGGACAATCAAATTGGATGGGTTGGCGGGATGGGATGGGATGGGTTGGTGGGCAATCAGCCGCGGGCGCGCACTTCATAAATTTATCGAGAAGACTCACCCACTTGAATGCAAGTTTTTGGCTTCGGCATCTTTATGGAAACTTCTCAAAGCGGAGAAATCGAGGAAACACGGAAATTAGCCTTGTCGCAATCGCATTCTCTGTCGTCTGCAAAGTTTCAATTGAATTTTCGTCCGGCAAAAAAATGCAGCAGCTTAAACTTTCCGCCATGTTCGAGAACAGATCCGCCAAATAATTAATTTTGCATATGTGAAAATGCAGCCAGAGGTTGTGCAAAGGGAGTCCTGACACTTGTCCTGACACTTGACCCGCTGGCAATGTGATCAACTTAACGAGCTGCGAGAAGTGAGTCATGGAGTCGCTGCACTGGGAAAAGGATCAAAAGAATCACAATCCCCACTTCAAGGTATTAATTTTTAAGAATTTATTTAACTAGTTGATTTCCTGCAGTTTTGTTGGGAAATACACAAAATCATAAAATACATGATATAAATAAATATCTTAAATAGCAAACGACAAACTACGCTTTAAAATTGGACGAAATAAATAAGTATTTTCTGTGGTGATGAATGTTTTCATCAGGTGAAATATATCTAAAAATATCATATTTGATTACCGGAATATAACAGAATACACCAATAACCTTTTGTTAGTCAATTTATTAAATAAAAATTGCAAACAAAATTGTATAATATCAAAGCATACCACAAACCTTTAAATGGGACCATTCTTATTTACTTTAAAAATATTTCTGTGGTGCTGCATTTTGTTTCCATCATTTAAGTAAAAATCATCCAACAAAAATTAGAACGCCAAACACAAACTCTTTTGTAAATCTAAAAAAAAAATGTTTAAAATAAATATGTTAAAAATCAGAGCAGACCGCAAAACCAGCTTTTTAATTGGAATAGAATAAATAATATTTTGTGAATTTATTTTTCTGTGATGCTGCACTTTTCGATGCTTTTTTTCCAGGTGCAGTTGCATCATCGTCGTCATTCTCAGTCGCAGCTAATTGAGTATTCTTCCCTTAAGTGGACGCAGCAGCCGCTGGCGCCTTTCAGGCTCATTTGCAGGCCCGCACATAAATCAATAAGTTGCATTCGGCCTTAAATTAATTAAAAAGAAAATTCGCTAAGAGCAGTGAGTGGAGTTTTCTTTTATTTTTGTCGGTATTTCCTGCTGGCAAATACGTTGCAGTCCTTATAGTTGGAGTCTGTGCTTAAACACTCCGCCAGCTGACAGCAATCAATCAAAAATTGCACTGGCCTTAGCGCAACGGGTGGTCCCGGATGTATCACGTCACCCCACCCAGAGCCACCCAGATCCACCCAACTTCACCCAAATCCACCCACTCACCCACTTCCAAACGAAGGAGCAGGAACATGATAAATTGTCAACACGCTGACGTTTGTCTGCAGCGATTTAAAAACTACTTAAAATGTAAATGTTGTTTCCCTGTTGCTGCTGTACACACAAAAAAAATGTATGTGAAATCAACGATTTAATTGTTAATACGAAACCAATCTTTAAAAATTATGTTATTCTCCAGAAAATAATAGCTTACCCAAAAAATATATGACTGTCATGCTACTATTCTAGCTATCTAAATATTTATTGATTTTTTTAACTATTTATTTTTTTAGATCAAATTATAAGGACGTTTTATATTCGAACATTTGGCAACTAAAAAATAAAATAAAATAAAAACATTCACATCAAAAGCAGGACTTGAAATAAAAACTCGGAGGCACTTGATTTTATCGATGAGATGTTTTAATAGTTATTCCAAAATTCTCAATTCTTCTTTTAGAACAAGGAACAACATGAGAAAAAAATACAATAAAAATTAAAATACTTTTCTTTCCATATAATTGTGATGTTACTATTAACATGCCCCTGAAAAAAATAACAAAACACAGAAACATTTCGAAAATCGATTATTTAAATATTTAAATTTTTTTAGGTAATGTAACAATCTTTTTATGTTGATTTTGCAAGATTTTTTTTTTCATGCACTCGTGTTGCTGCTGTGTTTGGGTTTTATGCACACGTCGCGCAGCGTAGACTGCGAAAATCATGTTGTTGACTTTGAAAAAATATGTGTAAAAATGCGCTATTGTAAATAACAGAACATAAACCCTGAAGAGGAGCGATGGGAGGGGTTCCCTAGTTGACTGACTGTCTGAGGGAGAGTGATGACATGGCAATGTCAACGCCGGCGAACAGCAGCTACAACACCGGGATCAACATTGTATGAAGATGCCACGCCTCTGTGATTGCATTTTTACACTTGTCATTTGGATTCCAGGCCACCTCTGTTTGTCCCCGTACTTTGTCGTCCAGTGTTTGAAGTTCACACCGAGCAACACAAGCATCAGCCGCAGCAACATCCTGCTGTCGCCGGTTTTCCCCTACTTGGGACTTTGTATACCATAGTACTCTAAATGAGTTATAAATTCTGCTGTCAAGTATTTTGACAATTGATTAATTGAAACCGACTTGGAAAGTTGCTACAGTTCACGATAAGCAGGCACACACGCCGGCCAGAGGAAACGGAAGTGGGCTGTCAATCGGCTGGATCCCCGCCTTCCGTGGATCATTTGTTGATGAGCTAAACTTTGACCGGGTCAGAGATCAAACAAAAGGGGCTAATACCAGAGGCCAAGCCGCAGACGCTCAAATTAAGCAAAAGTCTAGTTAAACAGAAAAGTTTTGGTCTTGCACCCCATAACCCCCGATAGCCATCGACATCTCCAGCTGCCCTTCAAGTTGACAACCTAAATTGTTAGTTGGCTGATAAGCCGCCTGTGGACGGCCGACTGCCACGCCCCCTTCCCCCGCAGGAGTGGGCGTATATAACATTTTTATTTATATCACTACTTTTTTATACAGACAGCAGAAGGAGGGTGGAACCAAGACCAAACGGAACACGCGCCACATGCCAGCGACAAACAAATAAATAAAATTCCTCTTTCGGTTTAGATACTCGTAACACCCCTCTTTCGAGGGGTCAGCTCTGGAGAAGTGTGTGTGTTTTACAAGTCTATTAACTTGTGGTGCTTATCTAATGCTGACAGCAAGTTTTTCACTTTGCCAAAGTTTTTTCAGCCCGGAAAACGCAACGTGCCTTTTCTGGGGGTTGGGGAAATCGTAGGAGGAACAAGTTTTAGGGGCAGCTCCGATGTCAATCATTTGTTGATCATTTTTCTTACAGCCCATGCATAATATATGGCCTCCATTTATAGATGACCACAACTGTCTTCTTGTTGCACTGAGAAAAAATAAGTATAAAGAATAAATATGTAATTGTTTTTCACTAGACAACATCATATTTTGAAAATCCTACAAAATCGTAAGTTAAAATAATATGTTTTAAAGAATTCTTATCCTCCATTTTATGTTTTGTTTATTTTGCAAATACATACGAAAAGTTGTTCAATCGGAAAACCTATAAAAACATGTTTACAATTTAAGTATCTATATGACTTTATTATCTTAAGAACTTAAGAAAATTTAGAACTTTTATCAAGATAACATCCAACATTATTTGCAGAACTCGTGAGTTTAAAATAATTCAATCAACGTTTAATAAACCAATCATTCTTATTCGAAGTTATCATCTGCACATATCCGATATCAAATGTTTTATATGTTTATTTTATATGGATGTTAAAATATAAAACCATAAACTATTAATTCTTTTATATTCCCAGACATCTTTAATCTTTTTAAATAAAATGTGAGCACCTCACAGAAAGTTATCTTTGCAGTGCTGAAAGGAAAAGTGCCAGACTGTCGGAGAGAAACTTTTCCTGGGAAAACTCTTGATTTCCTCGGGCATAAGGACAGGGAATTGGTCAAGCTAGTGGCTGCTTCATTAAATGCGACGCCAAAAAGTTGCATCCATCCGTGCAGCTGCTGGAAATATTTATGAACTGTCCGACTGCTGGCGTGGGTTCTATATATACGAGGAGTGTAAGTATAAGTACGGGTTCAACACCCCACCTGGCCACCTTTTTTCAATAAACGTTAAGCATTACGGTTATTAGTTTCAGGACGGGCACATAAAAACTTCAGGAGACACTGTTGTTGTTCAACAGACTGGGGACAACAACTTTGTGTTGCCACTTTGCCGATGGTATCTGCTGATGTTGCTCTTGCCACTCTGTAGCAGCAACATGTTGCTGATGCTGATAGTGCCTGCGTTGACTAGTTGACTATGTTGCCATTCTGCAAATGGCTGAATGGGGTCCTATGGAAATTACGGAGACCGTGATACTTGCAAGTGCATTACATGCAAAGTCCTTGCGGCAGTGACAACAGCAACAGCAACAGCAGCAGCAGCAACAGCACAGCAGCAACTTATTAACGCGCAATCTCAGCTCTGCAATTGACCGCAATGGGCGGGGCTGCGGACTCGGATCCTGAATCCTGAATCCTGAAGCAGGAGCGATGACGCCGATGACGCCGACGACGACAGGCGGAAACGGAAACGGCAAATAAACGCACGAGCGCTGACGTGCGGGCACCAGCGTGTCAGCGTCCGTGTCTTTGTGCTGCCGCTGTGCACGGGTGTGTGTTGCACTTGTTTGCATGCAACGTGGCAACATGGCAACGACAATGGCAGCAACAACAGCAACAACAGTAGCAACAGCAACAACTGCAGCAGCAACGGGCATTTATCTGGCTGCCCAGACCTGCCACGCCCCTCGTAATACATTGCGGTCGGGATGTTGCATGTTTGTGGGCGCTCGCCTGCGTTTGTATTTTTTCAATACCCATTAATTGATTTAGCTAAAGGGTATGCCCTACTTATGAGCTACCAACTTTTTAAAAGAATATTACTTCTTTTTGTCATTATTTTTCATAATTCTTTTTAAACATATTTTAAAAAAATTGAATTTATTTACCAATCGAGTTAAAGCCTGCATAAGATTAAGCAGATAACATAATCTGTTAAAACAAACCTACCATTTAATCTCATGGAATTCCTAACAGAATATACTAAACCATATTGTACAATATAATATACATATAATTAATTCGTTTTAATCAATATACTTTATTTATAAAAAAAAACACTCGTTATCAAAATACCGCTGGCTAATAAAATTTCCCAAGAAATCATTATGCGTATCGCCTTATATGTAAGAATTCAACTTTATATGTAAGAATGCTTTCGTAGTCGTCATTATTATAAACATTCGTATTTTCTTAAAGTAAATATGGCATTGTAATAACAGTTGGATTTTGCTGTTTCCCTTGAGATGACGTCTGCGATCGCTCTGCTAATTTTGTCAGCGCTTCTAAGCCTCGGAAAACTTGGATTCGCTGGATTTCTGGACTCACAATGTATACCACCATATGGGCCGAGAGTTATTGGTGGTCAAAACGCGAGAAGATCTCCTTGGATGGCATATTTAATTCGCAACGGAGGTTTTGCATGTGGCGGTTCACTTATTGCATACCGTTCGTATTTATACACATTTCTTAAATTTCTTTTGTTTAAAGATTTCAATTTATATTTATAACTCTTTATAGGCTTTGTTCTTACCGCAGCTCATTGTACGCAGATAAACGATAACTTGTAGGTTATAATATTTTTTATAAACTTTATGTTTGCTTATTACGTATTTGCTTGTTTTTTATAGATATGTTAGATTGGGAGAGTACGATTCCTCGAGGACAACAGATGGCCAGACTACCGACTATCGAGTTGTAAATATATATCGTCATGAGCACTACGTAAGTTTCCAACACGATGATATTGCAGTGCTTAAATTGGATCGGACAGTGGTCTACAACGGTAATTAAAATACAATTTAAAAATATGAAAATGATCTATAATCAGATTTTCAATATCCCTAATTATTGGAGAGGCTAAAACGAATTGTAATAATAAATTTCCTTTTTTCAGCTGCAGTCAGACCGATCTGCATTTTTACGAATACTGGATTCCAGTCCACCGCAGACAGGATACAGGACTTTACCTTAACCGGCTGGGGTCAGAGTGCCCAGCACTATGAAATGCCTACAACGCTCCAGGCAATGTCCCTCCATCGGGTGGAGAAACACTTTTGCGGGGCACCAAGTAACACTATATGTTGCAGGAATCCCTCGAAGTTTGCTTGCTTCGGGGACTCTGGAAGCCCATTGGGAGCACTGCTGAAGTATAGAGGCGTCTACATCTTTGCCCAATTCGGAATTGTTAACTCAGTTACGGGAAATTGTGACGGCTACAGCATACATATGGATCTTACTAGTTATATGGCCTGGCTTTTAAATACATTGCGAAGGAACTGGTACTGACATGATGGTTAGTTAATAAAAACAAAATCAAAACCTTTACAAAAATGGATTTAAAATATATTTTTAAAAATTCGAATTCAATAAATTGTTTTTAATTATAATAATTAAAGCCTTATGCCACTGGAGCTTAGACTAACTAATAAATGTAAGTTACCGATATAATTTATTTAAAAACTTTATGACAACCTAGAGAAAGAAGGATGTACAGCTCAACCACATATTTTATATTTATAAAGAGAGACGCTAAAGGTTCCCATAACATCTGGCCAGTTATTCAAAATTTTAGTGTCATATGGCCATAAAAATTCCATTCACTTTTTTGTTGATTAATTTTACTAGACTTATCATCCATTTAATGGGTATTTACTAGTCCGTATAAATGTTTGCTGATTCCCCCTGCCATTGAAATTTTTCTGTTTGCCTCGGCGCCATCGTTGGCATGCACGGCAAGGATTTCTCTGCTTAATTTGTGGTTTTCAACCAAACAGAGCAACGAGCGCGATGGACGATGGCAGATGGAAAAGGCGGGAAAAGGCGGGAAAAGGCGGAAAAGCGGCGGACGAGTCCAGCTAACCAACTGTTCAACAGCAATTGCAATTGCAATTGAGGTTGCAGTCGCACGAATATTCCAGGAAGCCCTTAAATATGATTATGGCATACGAAAGGCCTACGAAGGGGGTACTTTTTTTGGGGGGTGTGGAATATTAGGGGTATTGCAGCAATTGTAGAGCTGATTTTTTGGCCATCTTCGCTGGAATCTCTCGCTAATTCGCTTTTAGCCCAGAAATTTCCACGAACCTGATTTAATTGTCACACATTACGGAACCACAATTACATAGAAAAATGCACCATCCAGCGGAAATGCAAATGGCAAACAGAAATAGCAGCAACTGCAGCAAATAATAACAACCGACTGCGGCCAGCAAGGGCCTTCTTTTTCCCCTTCTCTTGGCTCGAAATAAAATGCGCCATTTGCAATTGTAGTTTATTTTAATACCGCAATTAGTGTTGTTTTCTGGCTGGAGTGGTGGGGCTTTCGTGGTTCGGCGGTTTGGTGGTTCCCCGGGTAGAGCACGCAATTGGAGGAAAAGGTGGAAAAACCCGGGGAATGCCATGTTGCCACACCATTTGAGGTGGCCCAAAGCTGCCGCAGCGGTAGTAGCATAAATATATCACAAGGAATGCAAAAATCCCGGTCTCCCGATGAAAGAGCTCTCCATCTGTCTGGCTATTTTGGAATTATTTGTGACGCAGCCGATGTTAATTGATTTTTAAGTGCCAACTACAATCAGGTACTTTGATACGCATCAGGTGACACATGCAGGCCCATGTTATTACCATCCAGCTTAAAAACAAATATAATGTAATCAGCGATACAAAACAATCAATGCAGCAACTGGGGATCGCCAAATACCCTATTAAAGAAGATTGTATTAAAAATAATACTTGCATACCTCCAAAAATTATTACTTAATCTTACAACACATCACATAAAATGTTTAAAAGATGATATATATTTATGTCTCAAAATAAGATTCTGGATTAAAAATACTCTTATAAGGATTGTAATATACGTACAAATATACCTAAGAGTAAGTATTACATTACATTAATATTACTAAATACTAAAAACCTTTTAGATTCCCTAGGAACCCCATTATATTGCATCACTGGGGAATCCGGAGCACCCTCTTCCATCGAGTACAGCAATCCGATTGAAAGTTAATTGCTGCATACACCTCGTTGATCTCATCCTTTTTGTCCCCCTTTATAGTATGCATCGAGTGTAATCACATTTTAAGTTGAACGCACTTAATTTTTTGCCCCAACTAAATGCCAATTAAAATTCGTAATTATTTTTTAATGGCATTTTGTGGTCAATATCGGGCGATTGACGATGATTGCACAGCGGTGGCTCCGCGGAGTGGGGGAACTCCGCTTTGATGACGGGATGCCGTCGTGACAGTCCACATTTATGACGGCCAAATGGCCAGTATCGATATCAATTGCATGACTTGTCAAAGCGGCGCCCGCCCAAAGAAAAGTGCCTCACATGTCCTCGCATGTTAGGGGAAATTGCAAGCAATTGCAGCTCAAACAAGGAATCGCAATAAGAGCCCCGATGTCCTGCAGCCATGTCCTGGCTCAATGAAATTCGAGCAATCATCACCATCAACATTTCGCCTCACTTCGAAAGGGACACGGCAGCCGACATGCCGCAAGTGACAATCATCTATATTTAATAAACAACTAACGCATGCAGGGCGAACAGCAGCGGTCAATAGAATAGGACTAAGGACGAAAATAATGTAGAATTACAAGGAGTTGCTGTGCGGACATATTATTTTAAACCGGAGAAAAATAAGGTCCTAATCTGCTCTAAATATTTATCTCTCAAAAACAAGGAGGTCTTTTTCATTACATTAATAGGAACCAAAATCTAACATTTTACCAATTGAGCTTAAGTTTCTTAGTTAAAGAATCACGTATGGCTGTTAAAATCATAGATAAATATTTTTTTAATTGAATATACATAGTTAGGATTATACTTATCATTATTTTCTGATAGTATGACCCATAAACATAAAATTAATAAATGAATTACAAATTATTTTAAAAGGGAACATACACCCTCAGCACACTTTCGTATCTTTAAAATACTTTAAAAAGTAGGATGACTTTTTAATAATTAAGGTACTACTTAAACTTCCTTGTTACTTGTTTAACTTACATATATTTTATGTGTTTGAAAACGGAATTTGTTCTTCGGTGAAGTACATTTTTTTCTATCCCTCTGATCACCACTGTTGAACCTTCGATTGGTGTTGGGCGGGAAAAGGGGAAAAGCTGTTCGAAAAAACAACAGCAAGATGACGAGACTAAGCGGCCATTGTCTCCGCCCCCTTTTTACCCCCAACTTTTCCTCAGTGGAAATTGTTTATCATGCATTTTGTTCGATTCCGAGTCGAGGCGTCTGAATAATGCAGCAGGTAGTACACGTTGATGGAAAAGCGGAAAAGTGGGCGTGGAAATTGGGGGGCGGTCAAATAAATAAGCGAGCATGAAAGCGAAGACGAAAACAAAATGGGCCAGAGGACAACGGCGACGGCGAAAAAGGACAACAATGCTGCAGACACAAAACCGCTTCGAATCGCTTTGGGCGGCATTCAAATTGAATATTGAAAGCATCGAGCACAAAACTGCCAAACGCTTGAATTATGCATTAATGATGTCTGCCACAGTGGACAATAGTCAGGGGCGGAGGTGCTGAAGGGGATAAGGGGGTTAGGGCGTGAGGACTCCGGACAGAAGGGTTTTTTATTCCAGAGACAAGAACAACGGCAATGCGTCGTCCTCGCTCACTGGCCACCGCTTATTAATTTTTTATGCGTCTGCTATTTTTATGGCCGACATGAAAGCGTTGGCCGCAAGCGTTTTATTTTCCCCGGCCATTTTCAGCTAGCTTTCGATAGTTTTTCACCGACATTTTCATTTGTTCTTACACACAATCACACCAGTTTTGTTTGCCGTAAATCCTCTTAAATACGTTACAAAAATAAGTAATCATTTATTTTTTAATTAAACATTTTATTCTAAAAACTGAAATAACGAGGAAAAGTCTAGTAAAAGTTTAATAGGCCAAATCAAGGTTAAAACATTCTAAAAAATATATATTTTATATGAATTTGGCTTTACCGTTACTTTTAATAACGTTTTATTTTTACTTGTTTTAAAGTCTTTTTTTAATCTCCTCTTGAACAATGAAACTTAGGATTTAATATTAAACCTTTTCCCAACTTGTCTAGGATGCTTTAATAAAAAACACTTAACTTTACAAATTCCTTATCCACCTGTAGAGTATTTGAGAACTTTATAGAAAAGGACATAGCAAAATAAGGACGAATTGGTCTTGCTTTGAACCCAACTGTCAATACAACATCAATAGCCTTTGTTCGCTAATATTTAGCAAAGTATTATGCTTTGTGTGGCCAGATTTTCCGTTTGGCTTAATTCTGTTTGTTGGCCAGTGTTGGTAAGGCTCCTCTGCTGCAAATAAAGCACGCCCTTGACAATGGCCGTCAATATATCCCGATATCGGTGGACAGAAAGACGTTAATTACCAGCATTACCGTGGGCCCTATTATCAGCCACACAAATCAGCGGTTGTGTAGGCACGGGAAACCTGATGCCCCGTGTGCGGGCAATGGAAAACTCATTACATGCCACAGGAGCCATCATCCAGGAAACGGGAGGCAGGAAACAGGAGAGCCACGCCCACCAGGACCGACCGCAACATGCTGTAATGCGTGGCCCCATCAGCATTTGCATGTGCATCCCGATCCACCCGATACTTAAAGCCGACGGGCCATATGTTAGCCTGCACTGCCAAAGGACAAACTTAATGTCAACACGCTAATCTGTCAGTCAGCGGCAGTGGGGAGTCGGTAGTCTGGTAGGATCTGGGAGCCGGAGATGGGCCTGCGCTTGCAAAGGATCTGCCACAATGTCGGACTACTTAAGGAGCGCGGAATCGTCGCGCCCCGCTGCACAAGAGCTCAGGGATATTAGAAGTGGGCGGCCAAATGGGTGGGAGCACTCTTCAAAATTCCAACGATTTTTAGTAAGGCTTTGATTCCTTAAAGGATTTTCTGGAGGATTTAAGAAAGTTTTCTAACGTTAGAAAAAGGAATTCTGGAGACTAGAACTTTCAAAAGGGACAACCACTATATTTTATGGTTAACATCAGCTAGGGGTACTTATGTTGTTATGATTATGGGGCACAAGAGGGTTAGGGAAAAATAAGAACTGAAGACATCTCTGAGTTATGTGTGGTTCCTGTCAGGTAGCTACTTAGATCTAGAGCCAGGGGAGGTACATATACGATTAAGACGCCTCTGACTTTCGTTATCTTCTTATCCTTTATAGGATTTTTATGGTTTTAGTGGTGGAACTGGTTGTTGAAATACATCTGTCTTTTGAAACGCATTATATCAACATAGACTGTAGGCACTATTTCGTAAATCAAAATGGCAATTAGTCAAAGATTCCATTAAGTTCTCTTTTTTGAGGTCTTGGAATAATCCTAATCCATTTTACAAAGGTGTACCTTAAAACAAACTGTAAAGTTCGCTTTTTACAAAGAACCTTGATTACATCCTTTCCCTCAAAAAAAACCTAAAAAGATCTTTAAAATTTATGAAAAATATGTTGAATATTTATGGAAAATTATATTTAAGTGTAGCAGCGCCTTGATGGCGCAACAATAAGGTTGTATCCTTTGGAATGACACAAATTGGTGTTCTCAGTGAGGCTTGACGCCTGACTTGGCAGGAGGCACTGGCGGGCACCACAAGATGGAAGCGGGCACCCAACCAAACAGCCACCCATTTAACCCCCCTCCAGACCCCTAAGGACGCGCCTTATCAACTATGCAGGGCTCTGTCTCTAAGCGATTGCAGCCGCCCCCCTTTTTTCGGCCCAACCTGTTTCCTCTCAGCCAGCGTCTTTTGTTGCGCTTAATGAATTTTACGTAAATTTTACGAGCGCTGATTTCTGGCAGCAGCACCACCCCAGCTATTAATCCACACTTTAGTGCGAGCACCACCACGCCGGTGGGTGGGTTGCTCAAATGGGTGGCTGTGGGCGGTTTGTGGGTGGCTCTGATGACTGGTAACCCCCGGTTTGTGCGTGTGTAATGACAAGTTCAACAACAACTCGGCATTGTCGACTGGTGACTGGTGACGAGGACGACGTGCTCCGACATTTGTTTGCCCAAGTTATGCAAATATTTTTCCAGTCAAGAAGTTTTTGTTTAATTGCATATTTTGACTCGCATTACGCGTGTCATAAAGCAGGGATCCGAAGCTTACCACAATGGAGGGAGTGGGGCGGGTACGGGGATTAAGTGTACTCGGAAGACATGTTCCTGAATTTCCGAGCTGTGTTCAAAGTTGGGATACCTTCTTAAAACTAAACAGATCATTTGTTTTATGATTTGTTATGTTTACCATTAAATCTTTTTCACTTGATTCTTTGTTAAGAAAACATTTGCTTATAGCAAGGATTATTTAATACCCCTGAAACCGAAATGATGCTCTTATTTGCCCCAAACACAGGATTTATTGGTAACATTTTTCAATACGAATAATAATGTAACTATACAAAATAGTTTACTTCTGTTAAAAATAGCTGGATCTATTTTCTTGTAGCTTGAATAACTATGTTTTTTGAGATATTTTATTATATTAAGTATATTTTAAAATTTGCATATTTTACAAAAGTTGCAATATGTAAGAGCTATGTTTGGGAACCTTTTGTTTTATAAGTAGTTTCCTTCGCTGAAACTCTTCTTAAACCCCGTTTACTGCCTTAAAATTATACAAAGTAAACATAAATATATTTATTTTTATTTGTAGATTAGTTACTGATGGAATAACCGTTTCTTTCTACCAGTAAAAATATACAGTCCAATAAAGCTTCTTCTAGTTTCTTAAAAATTCGTTAGATGAGAGTTGGCTAAAATTAAAAATCGGTTAAATCACCAAGTTCAAAAAGGTAAAAATTTTGAGGTATACTTTTGGCGTAATACCTTTCTTTCTTCGCCAGCCCTGATAGCTTCCTAGTATCGGGAATCGAGTACTTTCTATCCATCAGACAGGATGACAGGCGACTTTCCCACTTTCTCACTTTCTTCTTTCTTCTCCCCGGCGAAACACCACGCAGCATGGCAAGTACTGGCGAATGGATTACTGTGGATCTGGAACCGGCCACTCTGTTGTCGGTGAAGAAGGAAAATGGTATAGAAACCCGGGTGTACATAGCCCCCTGTTCGGAGCCGAAGATTCAGGAGCCTCTCGTGAAGCAAAAGCCTCTGTATATTCCCGACAAAAACACGCTGCTTTTCCACTGTCCGTATTGTGGCAATGGAATTCGCACGGCCGGTGCCTTCAAGGTCCACATGCTGGCTTGCGAGAGGCGCTACAAAAAAATGAAGGAGGACGGGATTGTGATGCCGCCGCTGCAGTGCAGCCTTTGCCAGGAGACCTTCCCCACCGTGGCGGCCTTGAGGGACCACAGGGTCCTTCACGGAACCAAACGAATTTGCGAGTCCTGCCATGCGGAGTACGAGACGGAGGTGGAATATCGAACTCATTTGACGAGTTATCTGAAGACCCCAAAACGCAAGCAGGACTCCCCCAAGGATGGCCCTTCCAACGTCTCCAAGTTCTTTAATTGCCTCTTCTGCCGGAACGAGTTTGTGGCCCATTTTCAACCCGGTAAGGTGACCCGTCGCTATGCCTGCGACAATTGTGTCCAGCGGCTGAGGAGCCAGGAGGTCGACAAAGGGAGCGATGTGCCTCCCAAGAGAAAGGCCGAATTTATCTGCTATCGTTGTGGCCGGATGTACAAACTCGAGGGCTTCCTAAGCCGTCATTTACAAGTGTGTCAGGGAAACATTCCCAAAAAGAAGCGCCAATGAAATTGGTATAATTAAGATACGTCAAAGTACACTATGTTAAAGTTTAATAATACAATTTATATAGAAAACAATTATACTATTTAAAACTGTTTAGAACTGAACAAAACCAAAACTTCCACATTTAATATGCAAAAAAATGTATATGCTATTAATGTATATTCTTAAACATAAATAAAATGGGAAATAATGTAAATTCCATTGCTTATACCCTTAATTCAAATTCTGGCGGCCTTCCACCGATATCTGTTCACACTTGTTATCGCTGGGGGTCACACTTATCGATACCTCAGCTGATTTGTGGTATTTTGCCTTCAAGGCGTTAGTGAATTTCCCGCCCAGCTGCACGTGTAAATTTTTGAGCAGCCAACACGAAAATCGTTGTAAATAAACGAATTTTAGGGCATTCCCGGCAAGAACCATGAGTGCAGACGAGTCCAGCGATGGATTGGAGGATCTCAAGGACCTGATGGCCCTGTACGGCAAGCAGGAGCAGGAGAAACCGAAGCAGGAGGAAAGGAAACGCTTCATTCCAAAGGCCTCGCAGGCGAAGGAACTCAACTATGTGGAGGTTCCCATGGAAAAGGTGATCTTTGGGGACAGGCAGCGCTTCCTCGCCAATCTGGCCAAGTCCGTGGGCCACAAGTGGCAGCCAAACGACGTCGAGGACGACGACAAGGAGCAGGAACCCGGCCAGCAGAAGAAGGGTGAAAAGCGGAAGGCAGCCTGGTCGGATTCCGACGACGAAGACCTCCAGGTGGGCGATGTTAAGAAGCCCACCAAGCACACGGGTCCCCTGAATCACCTGCGCAAGGACAAGTCCTACAAGGAGTACCTCACGGCGCGATTCCATCGCACTCTCAACCAACCCAAGTGGGCAGAAAAGAAGATAAAGAACGACGACGAGGAGGACCACTCCTCCGACGAAGAACTGCTCAAGACAGTGGGCTTTATCGACCACAAGGCCCGGAGGAGCGATTTGCCCCAGAAAACGCTGAACTTCAAGCGAGTTAAGGACCTGAACAGAGCCTCCAAATCCGAAGCCACGGTGTCCAGCGTTCAGTTCCATCCCACCAGTACCGCAGCCCTGGTGTCTGGTGAAGCGGACTCCACAGCCACCATCTACACGGTGGACGGACAGAAGAACGAGAAGCTGCACAGCATCTGCTTCAAAAGGTTCCCGCTGCGCTGCACCAGAATCGCTCCCTGCGGCACGAAGGCTTTCTTTGGTTCGTACAGGAAATTCTACTTCGCCTACGATCTGCTCGAGGCAAAGGAAACCAAGCTGATGCTGCCGGGCAACGTAGGACTCATGGGAAACTTCGAAGTCTCACCGTGTGGCAAATTCATTGTCACCGCTGGACACTTCGGAGCCATTCATCTGCTCACGGCCAACACAAATGAGCTGCTGCACAGCTTCAAGCAGGAGGGCCAGGTTAAGGGATTCACTTGGTCTGGGGACTCCCGAAGGATCCTCGTCTGCGGGACCACTTCCAATGTTAATGTTTTAAGCCTCCGGCAGAACCTTATAGAGCACGTCTTCTTGGACGACGGCTGCATCAATGGACAGTCCATCCAACTGGCCCCCAATCAACGTCTTTTGGCCACTGGCAGCCAAGAGGGCGTGGTCAACATTTACGACTATGAGAACGTGATGACCTCCAAAGCCCCACAGCCCGAGAAGCGCTTCATGAACCTGCGGACCTGCATCACGGATCTGCAGTTTAATCACTCGTCTGAGTTGCTGGCCATGAGCTCCTCCGCGGCACCCAACGCTGCGAAGCTGGCCCACTTCCCCAGTGCTACCGTGTTCTCCAACTTCCCGACTCAGACCGAGAACGTGGGCAAGGTGTACACCATGGCTTTCTCGCCGCATAGCAGCTTCCTGGCCTTCGCTGCCGAGAAGGGCGTGCCGCTCTATAGGCTTAAGCACTTCAAGGGATATTAACTGAAAGCTGTATGATTTAAATAAAATATTCTGGAAAAAAACTAAAAATAGTATTTCTCATGGGAAAGAAGTAGTTACAAGTTAACAAGCCTTTAGAGTCTAATATTTAATAGGGAGCTCGGAAGATGTCCCGCTTCTGGGAATCTTGTATCTTGCCAATGTCGTCCAGCTTCTTGCAGATGTTCGACGACTGCGATTCGATCCACTGCAGGGAGCTCATGTGTGCGTTGAGGATCTTGCCTATCTGAATGATGGGATCAGTGGTGTCCTGGCCCTTGTTGGCCTCGTTTAGGTTGTCGATGATCTCCTTTAGGTCCTCGGACATCTGCTTCAGCTGCGTGTCCAGGTTCTCCACCATCAAATAGGTCTGGCTGCGCTCCATGTCCACTCTGGGGAGATTCACGAACTCCTTCTCCAGCGGCGCCAAGCTGTCCTCCAGCTCCTTTTGCTGCGTGGCTATGAACTCCAGCTCCTGGTCGAGCACCTGCTGGTCGGTCTTTACCTTCTTGACGGCATCGTTGAGCTCCACGATCTTCTGGTTGTTGCTAATGAGTAGTTTGTCCCAGGCGTTGATCTGGGTGGCCTGTTCGGTGAACACCTTTTCCTGCTCCTCGAACTCTAGGGTCCACTTGTTGATGTGCTCCTCCAGTTGGTTGTACGACAGCTGCGAGGCGGTGGAGACGGCCGCGGAGTCCGTGGTCTTGGTCTCGGTGGTTAGATTGGCAAAAGCTCCGCCGGTGCTTAGAGTTGGTGCCGGTGCGACTCCCAGTTGCGGAGCTGCGGCTGCTGGAGCTGCTGTCAGAGTTGTGGGAGCAGCCGCAGTGCTCTTTGGAGCTCCTAGTCCTAGTCCTGTGCCGCCTAGCAAGCCAGTGGCGGGTGCTGCCGTGTTTGGTGTGCTGGTGGCCAAGCTGGGCGCCACCGCTGCCGTCGGCTGCGCCAAGAAGCCTCCAAAGACGGGAGGAGCGGCGGAGGTTGCAATTGTTGTCGCAGAAGTGGACACCGGATTTGTGGCTTGAGTGCCCAGCGTGAGGGGAGTTGAAGCGGGTGCCGCCAGGCCAAATCCGAATGCCGGTGGAGCCTGTGCCTTGCTGTTGTCCGCATCTCCGCCACCAATATTAGTAGCAGCCGCTGGGCCTCCGAAAGAGAATGTGGGTTTTGTGGCGGGAACGGTGGCTGGTGCTCCTGGAGCGGCGGCTGCGGCGGGAGTTCCCGTGCTCAGGCCGAAGGAGAAGGAGGAGCCGCCTCCTATCGGAGCGGCCGTGGTCGTGGGCAACTGGAATACCATGCTCGAAATCCTCTAGAAACGAAGGAAATAATAAAAATTCAATCAAACGGAATCACGCCAAAAACACCAGTGTGACCCCTACCTGGAGTTTTGTTATAATATCAGTATTGGAAAACACCCGATGCTACTGAAACTAGCTATTTTCTAGCTAAAATTAGCAGGAACTTGTAGACTTGAGCGGGTAAATTAAAGTTTTAATAAGACTTTATTTCATTTACCCAAAATTATATACATAATGGCTTCTGATATTATAACAGTTGTGTTTAAGTACTGGATTTGGTGACAGTTTTTAAGAAAACTCTGAATAGTCTTTATATAACATTTTCCATGAACTTTGCTTATTTGTTTACACATAGGCCTATAAATTCAAAATTGAATAGCAATGATATTCCTAATAAATTTTAATTTATTATTACTTTTCGTCGGTCTTTTTATAAAAGTTAGTCCATTGAGCTTCAATAAAACTTATGAAATTTTAATTTATGCAATTTACTAATAAACATTTTTTAAGCACTTTTAATATTGCCTTTACTATTAAAAACTTTAACCTTTTTAAAATCATGTTTCAGCTGCTTTTTAAAATCGACATTCAACACTGGTTTCGTGGCATTTTTTAGAAGCAGATTTTTGTGTACATAGCGAAAAGATAATCCGCGTAACTTGAATATTAATGCTTATCTGATCATACAATATAAAATCAAAAGTACTAAAAAAAATCAATAACAAAACACCGGCTTCAATTAGTCAGCTCGGTTATCTGTAAGTGGAAAAGCGATAAGAGTAACATTTGGGTCAAAAATTTAATTAAAGCCTTTGAAGAGTGCAGCGGCACTGGGTTTAGTAATTGCATTTGTAATTGCAACTCAGCAAAACACATGTGTATATGTACTCGCTATCAAAAGGGAGCAACAAAACGATCATTCAGAGCTGGGAAAGGTAGCATTCGTTGGGCCTAGGTCACAATCAAATTAAAAATAGGTACCCAAGGTACAGTAAGCAGTACCAACAAAAGTTGGTAAGGGGGAGTCAAAAAGCTTCATTTTTGTATGAGAAAATTCATATTAAATGCTAAGAAAACCTTGATGATTAATAAAACTCTAAAAAAAATATATGATAATATTTAGGGGATAGATATACATAGAATTTGGATGGACTTAGACCTGTTTTCTCGATCTAGTGGTAAGCCAAAAGTAGTTTTTAAAAGTAGAAAGTGAAATTTTGATTAATATCTAAATGCTTGATTTAAACGTAAAAGTATGGCGATACAGAATATAATTTGAAAAAAAAAATTTTTAAAACAATTGTGATATCTATGTTTATATAATTTTGATATTATTTATAGGCATTCCCAAATCATTTGAAATTATTTGGAAATATCAATAATATAATCGTATTGTAAAGATCTTTCGTTTCTCCACACTGAGTACCCAGTGGCAGTACCTTCCCATCACTAGTCCCATGCTCCAGCCTATGCTCCCCAAGTTCCCCAACTTTGTAGTCGAATCTAGCTGGCAAACAGCGCCAGAATTGAACAACAAAAGCATATCAGAGACCGCCGTCCTCTTCTCACATTTTTCGCTGTTTGCTCCCTGTGATCGCTGTGAACTTGGCGTGATAAGGGGCTCCGGCTCCTCCTGCAATCGAAAAAGCCTGCTGTTTGTTCCACCCGGCGAACACCAATCAGTCGATGGGTGTGCTCCACTGCAATAGCAATTAGCCACTAACCTTCTGCCGGGTCTTCAGCTCTTGGTCCTCCCCTTCCCAACTCTTCAGGTGCCCCGGGCAAACACAGACTTATCTGGAGTGCCGCCGCAAGAGAATATAAATTCCCTGGGAGCCCAAAGGCCAGGATTCAGTCGGTGCCACTTGGTCGCGATGTACGGAACGTGGGGCGTCTTACTGGGCGGGATCCTCCTGCTACAGGTTCTACAACTATCCCTGGGCCTCGATAATGGTCTGGCACTCAAGTAAGTTTTTTATTATGATTGGATTCTTTTTTACTAAATTGAAATTCCCTGCTTTTCAGACCGCCCATGGGTTGGATGTCCTGGGAGCGGTGAGTAATCTTTTACTCTTTATCTACAAAATGGATCATATCACTAAAAATGTAGATTTTTTGATCGAATTTCCATTAGGTTGCATTTTAAATTTCACGTGGCCTTAAATATTTGATAAAAATTAAGCCTTTGCATGAGGCTCAGCGTGTTTAGTAATAACTTATAATATGACTCATTGTTTAATTATCTTTTAAGTTATTTGCCTAACGTGATGTTTAATAATCTTAGATAAGGAGATACTATATCCTTCATTTTTATAACTTTCAGATTCCGTTGCATAACCGATTGTCAACTTTATCCCGACGAGTGCATTAGGTAAAAGCCTGTAAACATCCTTATCACCATAAATATACCCTCTTTATAAACCCTTTTCAGTGAGAACCTTTTCCGAAGACATGCGGATCTTTTGGTTTCCGAGGGCTATGCGGATGCTGGCTACGAGTACATCATAATAGATGATTGCTGGCTGGAGAAGGATCGTGACAACAGAACCCAGAAACTAGTACCAGACAAGAAACGATTTCCCAGCGGATTAAATGCGCTGTCCGATCATGTAAACTAGAAGATTTATATCCCTTAAAGTACCTGTATCATCTTAATATTTTTCAGATTCACAACAAGGGTCTGAAGTTTGGTTTGTACCAGGACTACGGCACCAATACCTGTGCTGGTTATCCCGGAGTAATAAAGCATATGAAGCTGGATGCCCAGACCTTCGCCGAGTGGGATGTAGACTATGTGAAACTGGATGGATGCTATGCCAATATCAGCGATATGGCCACCGGGTATCCGGAGTTCGGACGCCTCCTAAATGAAACGGGTCGACCGATGGTGTACTCCTGTAGCTGGCCTGCTTATCAAGAGGAGGCCGGGGAAATGCCCGACTATGAGTCCCTCAAGAAGCACTGCAATCTGTGGCGCAACTGGGATGATATCGATGATTCCCTGGAGTCACTCATGCAGATCATGGACTACTTTGCCAAGAACCAAGACAGGATTCAGCCGCATGGCGGTCCAGGACACTGGAACGATCCCGACATGCTTCTGCTGGGAAACTATGGTCTCAGCTATGATCAAAGCAAGCTGCAGATGGCCATTTGGGCGATTATGGCGGCGCCTCTAATTATGTCCAATGATCTGGCGGCAGTGCGTCCCGAGATCAAGGATATTCTGCAAAATCGGTTGGTCTACCCAAATAATATTTATAATACTTAATTGTAACAAGTTTTCCCTTGCAGAGAGGTAATTGCTGTGAACCAGGACGAGCTGGGCATCCAGGGGCTTCGAGTTCTGACCCGCAACCAAGTCGAAGTCTGGAGACGACCCATTACTCCAGTGACCAAAAATGGACATCACTCTTATGCCGTGGCTTTCGTCAGTCGCCGGGATGATGGAGCTCCCTACAGGATCCCCTTCACAGCCAAGGACCTCAAGCTGACCAATCCCAAGGGATATCGCGTGCAGGATCTGTACGATGCCAGCAACAAGTTGGGAGTCTTTCAATCGGAGAGTCAGTTCATCACACGCGTCAATCCCAATGGTAAAATCTATTGCACAACATAATCTGGCCCCTAATTAATTTTATTTATCTCTGCCTTAGGCGTAACTTTCTACAAGTTTACAGCGTTGTAATCCGAAGATATGCAAATCAGTCGCTGCCATCAAATCGAATATGCTCCTAAACACATTATTTCACATGGCCATCTACATTGCCAAGATGAGCTGCTTAATAAATAACAAGGTACATCATAGCCGAAGAGTTCATTTGACTTTGTTGGTTTTTATTGCTCGTAAAACAATTGATTGTGTGCCTTACACACAGGTATAAGTATTGTATTGTACATTTATAGGCATAAATTGCAGTACCGATGCTAGTTAAGACTTGTTCCATGGTATAAATAAGGTCTGACTGGATGAAAGATTTAATTCGCAAGCTTGTATAAATAATAGGTTTAGTACTATATATGCGATTAGGACCCGGTTAAGAAGAGAGAAAGGAAAGCGACCCCTGGGATCACACCAGTTATAAATAGTTACCGTCTACAGCTACAGCATACGTGGTTTTGGTCGAGAGAGTTGAAGTTATTGTCGAGTTGGAGGCGAAACCAGAACCAAACCAAAGGGCCGACAGCCCGGGGTTAGTGCACCCCATTGCTGATGGTCGGCGTGCGCTCGTAGGTGCGACGATGCAGCGAGTCCACGTCCTTCAGGTAGTAGGTGCCGGGGAACAGGGTGGAGATGCTGCCTGTGGGCGTGTAGGGCGCCGCATGGTTGTTCTTCTCCCGCACCTCCATCAGGGCGGAGAACTGCTCGGGGGCCACCTTCTCCCGCGAATTCAGCAGCGGCTGCACGTAGTCCAGCTTCGAGACGAACTGCTCGAAGGCAGCCGCATCCTGGGTCACACTTATCGAGTACATGGAGGCCGCCAGTCCGGATCCGTAGGAGAACACCCCAATGCGCTTTCCCACCAGATCCTTAGCTGGCTCTCCGATCAGCAGGGACACCAATCCCGAGTACACCGAAGGGGTGTACATATTGCCCACCTGGTTGGCCAGCAGCAGCGATTTCTTGGTCTTGCTGGCGAAGATTTCCGCTGACTGCGTCAGGAAGGCCTTCTCCACATCGCGATCGAAGTAGGTGCTCTCCAGGGTGGAGCTATTGAATCGTTCCAGGCCGGGGAACTGCTTCGTCCGCTCCGCCTCGCTGCTCAGCAGGAAGTCGTTGAAGCTCAGGCGACCCACGGACTTCTGCACCAGCTTGCAGAAGGGAGTGTGGAACAGGATGGCGTCGAAGGTGCTCAGGCTGGCAGGCTCCTTGGAGCTATCCTTCTGCTGCTGGTCGAACTTCTTGCGGTACAGCCTGTAGCAGGTGTCCAGAGCGGACAGGTAGCACTGAATGGAGAGCTTGCCGTCCACCGTGGGGTACTCGGAGCTGAGGTCCGGCTTGTAGAAGTCGTAGGCGTGCTCCATGTGCGTGGCGCGCAGGCCACGATCGAAGATCAGAGGCGCATTTGGACCCACCAACATGGCCACCGCACCAGCTCCGCCAGTAGGGCGCGCTGCACCCTTGGCATACACTGCAATGTCAGCACAAACGGCGAGGGCTAGGCGGCCATCCCAGCTGGAGGATTCCACCCAGTTGACGGCGTTGAAGAGCGCAGCCGTGCCACCGTAACAGGCGTTTGTGGTGTCGATGCCCTCGATGTCCGTGTTCCCGCTCTCGGCGAACAGCTGCATCAGCACCGACTTCACCGACTTTGACTTGTCCACGATGGTCTCGGTTCCGACCTCCAGTCGCCCGATCTCCGAGTGCTTCACATGGTACCGCTCCAGCAGGCGGCTCACAACCGTCAGACAGAGCGAGTTGACGTCCTCGCGGTCCGAGCAGAAGCCCATCTTGGCCTGACCCAGGCCAATTGTGTACTTGCCCGCGGAGGCGCCGTCGAAGGTCTCCAGCTCGGTCTGGTCCACATACTGGGAGGGGAAGAGCACCTCAATGGCGCGTATTCCAACGTTCTGGGGCCAGTGGGATGCCATGATTGTTTCCGGTTTTCTATTTAATCCTGAGCTCTGCAAGAAAAGTAGTTGGGGTATTGTAAGTAATGCTTTCGGCTGTACGAAATTGAAAACAGGGCAAATCTGGAGGTGCTTCAAATCAAAGTCGTATTCCGTCTATAGCAGAAATGATTTCCTGAACTTGATAATAGATTATCTCATGGAATTTTTTCACATATTATATTAAATGGAGGTTTTAAACCTAGGAAAGGTATCGGCAATTGATGTTTAAATGCTTGTTTCAAGGTCAATTTCCTCGTCCGCATGTAAAACTAAAAGTAGGATCTAAATATAGTTCATATATGGACATTTTGCGTTTGCCACCCACTTTTAGTTGAGTTAAAATGTTAATGTTAAAATGTTAACACGTTTTGGTAACACGGTTGAATAAATATATCACTATTTTCCCATATAGCTACTACGATCTCTTGCACTTGAGTTAAGTTCCGAAGTTCAGTCCGTTGGCTTTTATAAACTGAAGTTGCTTAGAGGTTCTTTAAGTTTAATTTAAACTGCGTTCTCGATGTGGCCCGAATTCCACTGCCAATTGGCATTGGGAAACTTTCTCCCCGCGCAATCACGGCGTATTTATAATGCTTACAAATCGGACGAGGGCAGAGACAACCTGTTGCACGCTCGAGCTGCGTTGGACGTGTGTAAGCCAGAGACTTTGAGTTGGGCTGAAGAAGTCATCAAAGTCTTCGAGGCAGAGGCGCCGCCTTGGGAATTTGAATGGGGATGGGAAGGGGTCCAACTGATTTCCCTGGTCGAGAGGCCAAGAGAGAGAGCCGCCGAAGCGGAGAAAGTTTCCCCGCTCAGACAAACTTCGCAAAAGAGAGCACTAAACCGAAGTAAAGTAAACCAAAACACACGCATCACAATGAATGTAAGCCAAGAAGACAAGCCCAAAACCCAAAGGGCCAGGGGCGTGGATGCTGGGGTTACACATCAAGAAATTGAGAGTTCTATTAGAGGTCTTCAAGAATAACATATGATTAATTTTAATTTAGTATTGATTTTTCAAAATGTATTAGCATTGTATAATTTTTTAAGTATACGACTAAAAAAAGTGCTTCAATTACTGGATCCAAAAAAAAATCATGATAACATTTTCAGCGTTATCAAAAATACGAACTAGTTATTTTTTCTAAATCTTCAAAAGGCCATATATTGTAAAGAAAAAATAAAAATTATTAAGGAATGTTTTTCAGATGGAGAGACTTAATCTGAACTTTTATATGAACCGCTTTACAATGTTTACTTTACACAAGAACTTGTTTTTAACATTGTAAATAATTAGTAACGATGGAAGACGAATTAGAAGACGTTATTGGACATAATTTCTTTCAAATATCGTAATTTAACTATCACAGTTTTACCAAAACAGGGTTAATTTCGTTCGGTGGAGATTTGTGGGACAGGTTGGGAGCGTCTTCGCCTATAAGTGGGTCATGCCCACGAACCGCTCTCCCTCAATGAAATCCCCTCCCGAAAACCGAAATAACACGCGTCTATATTGTATAACCGATAAGAGTGTGCGAGTGGAGTGTTGGCCCAAACCCGAAAAGCGATTGACATGTTTACCGTTACCGTTAGCACCTGCGACTACTGGCCTATTGACAATACGTTTTCACTTTTCGGGCTGGAACTTTTGGAGTTGGTGGGTTGGGAAGCGCGAAGCTCACTCGATCGAATCTCTCCGCGGACTGACGGCCACTGGGGCACTGCACTGGCATATGAATATGACCATGACGGAGGAACTGGCAGCGGAGAGGCCTCAAACGGCCTCAGAAAGAGCAAACAGAGGCGCTGTAAGTCAATGCCAATTGCTGAAAGCGCTCGGCGAACAAATAGCGATCGTGCATAATTACGGGAAATATTTATCGCTTAGATACGGCCAGCGAGCACGAGCGTTTGGGGCTAAGAAGTCGCCGGAATATATAGATATTCGAAGATAGTCGTGGCCTTTGGCGATGGGGTAAAGATCAAAAGGCTGCCAATCACTGATAAGCCCGGAACAAAGCGGCTTCCTGCAATATAATATGTATTACCGAAAAGATAGGACATTTTTGCATTTTAGAGCAAGTACACGGAGGAAAAATGGGTTTCTTCGAAGTAGCCTGACAAATAAGGGTTTGTGGTAGGAAATTCTTCTTATAAAATAGGGGAAGTCCATAGGGCCTACGGTAAAGTGTTAATTTTTGTCGATGGCTAAGCGCAATAATTTATTAAAATGATAATAATAAAATGAAAAATTGAATATTATATGTACGGTTAAGAATAACCTTAAAGGATTAAGGCAATACTTGGAAAAAGACACAAATCGGTGATAGTCTGAGGATCTTAAAGATCTTAACTTAACTGATAACGAAACATAAATATTTATTACAAATAATTGGATCTCTGAGCAAAAAACAATAACAAAAAAGAAAGAGATCAGTATAATTTAATTAATTTGAGTAATGTATGGGCACAGGAGAATGAGGCAATACATTGTCCTATTGTGTAAAAAGTATGACTCATTATCCCCAGCCTCTGGAACTCGAACTGTCTAATCAAATATAATCGAATATAGCACCATTTTCTCCGAGTGCCCGTGTTTAAAATGGAGCTCACCCGCTGTGCCTAAGCAGCCCTTGGGTTTAAGTATGGAAATGGATGCACTGTTTATGCGGACGAGGAGCCAATGGAGGGGAAAGGATGGATGGGGGCACTGTTGTGCTTTCGAGTGCTTATTTTTAGCACTTCGAAATTGGGAAATATTTGGGTAAACATTTCCTGGAGCTGATGCGCACTTGGCTAATTGTTTGCTCTTGAGTCATTACTTTTTTTCGGGTGTACATAGGGTGTGGAAAGGGGTGAGGGGGAGGTCAAAGGTCGAGGTGCCCCGAGAAAAAGCACACGTGTAGTTGAGAGCCGGGCGATAAGCAGAGTTTAGAGGGCAGGGTTATGAAACCAAGCTATAGCAACTCGTATGACTAGAAAGTAATACTTTCAAAATCCGGGCATAATCACCAACTGGAAAACCCATATAAAACAGCTTTTCCCGATTAACAATTACCGATCCTAGTTGCACACATATTGTTCCTCCAACTTCTGGTTACATCAGCGGTTAATCTATTGCCCTGCCCCGCCCCTGGCCGCCCTCCAGAGCAGCATAGCTTTCCATTGAACACCCACTCACTTACTTGCTAATATCAATGGTCCAGGGCGGGCGATATGTTTAAAACTAAACTAATCTCGAATAAAATTAAGCAAACGAAACTGCGGCACCTCAGCCGGGCAGTGTTGGAAAGCGCTGGCCGCCAAACAGCTGCTTACAAAGTCAGCTGTTCGGCCCATACGCTACCCAACACTAGCGCCATCACGTGAATGCCGTGGGCATTGTGAACTGTCACTTTTTCGCTATCGCTTTTCTCACCACACAATTTCGTTCGCATTTGTGGGTGGCGGCGGTCGATTTGCGCTGATTTTTTGGCAGAGAAAAACGCAGCTCGCTGTTTTAAAATAGCACAAAAAGCACACTTGTTTCGTTAGCAACCAACCAGAGCCGCTGAAAAGTAAGTGTCAATCGTTAAAAGCCAGAAAAATCGGCGGTTTAACACGTCGCCGTGAAAAGTGCAAAAGTTCTCCTCCCATTCCGCCGACGAAAAAACCGATTACTACATCGCAGTAGGTCTGCTGACCCAGGAAAAAGTGCTCGCTGGTTTTATAATTAACCGAGAATAGTGATAAAATGCGTTTTTGCAATGTGGCTGATGGCTATTTTTTCAAAGCAGTGTGACCCTGAAATGGAGAGTTTGCTGCTTTTGGCTGGACTGCAGATTCCCGCTGGGCAGGCGGATGTATCTGGAAATATCCAGGTGGAAATCGGAAAACGCAGGGGGGCTGTGGGCGGGCTGTTTGGGAAAATGTGCGGAAAGTGTTTTGGTTTTTTGTGTGCTGCAATGAAAACCCGTGAGCAGCGAAAAATTATCGATCGAAAAGCTGTCATGTGACTGTCAACGAACAGCTGACATTGCGTGAGCAACTCACCACGGCGAGAGGTGAAGAGAGGCTCGCCATCTTCCCTCTCTCACAATTGCTGCTCGCTCTCCCTCTCCCTCTCTCTCCTTTGGGTAAACAAAATAAGTTGAAAATTATTGTTTAAAAATTCAAATACTTTTCGGTTATTTTCCCACTAAGCACGTACTTCTATGATTAATAGATCATGTTGTGCGAAAACAAGCAAATACTTGCAGTTACGCCGCACGAGGACTAATAAATAACGGAATGGCGTGCAACAAGGACCTTGGTGAAAACTGACCAGATATATTTTATATATGATATAAAGTGTAGAAAACCCGTGGCGAAAGTCAAACACGGGCAATAAGGCGGAAATTCAAATGGGCAAACAGCTGCTGGAATTCCAGCGCGTGCTTATCTGTGTGTATGTATGTGCAAGGTCTTCTGAGCCGCCCACTGCCACCCAAGCACCACCCACAATCCACCCCCCGGCAAGCACATTATTATTAATTAATTTGGGCGCACACCCATTGCGACGAGGAGGATATCGTCAAAACTTTGTTTTCCTCCTTTTTTTTTTGCGACTTTGCGCCTTTGTTCCTTTTTTATTGTTTTCTGTTTTCGTCGCTGCAATTTCCTGTATTGGCTTTGGACTACCCCAACTGGATGTGGATGTGGCTGTCGACATGGGCATGGTGTATGGATATAGATTGGGTCCTGGACCCCAGGCCCTCTCCATTAGCGCCAGCCGTTGGCCAGTCAGACTGTCTCCATTCGCCTGGCGACGCGATGGCTGGAGCCCTCCGCCCACCGCCCCTTAGTCCCCGCTTTTCCCTTGGACTCGGGCCAATCCACGTCACCAGTTCAACATGGCAGCATAACAGTCGGCTACTCCTCCTCCAGGTCCTCCCCCTATCGGTAGTCCTTCCCAGCTATCTATACACTTCCCCTTTCGCCCCGCAGCAATTTGACTTTCGCTGCTAAAAATAAACATACGTAGTTGTGCACTGAAAACTAAGCATAGGCACTTTCCCGGACTGAATTTTGCCAGTCACCTTTCAGAAAAAATATCACTCAATAGGATAAGCCGGCTGAACATGTGGTGTTAATTATCATAGGCATTTAGCATTATCATAGGCATTTCTGAAATCTAAACTTTTATACGTAGATAGATAAATAGATAATTATATTCGAGTGTCAATTTCGTAACATTTCACATGTCATGATATGTTGAGATATGTATGGTTCTATCTGTTTGTTACTGGGAAAATTTTTTTTCCAAATATGTTACAAAATGTCGATAGATGTTAAGTTCGAGACAGTCACCTTCTCTCATTAATATTTATGGTCACATTTGAGTTTTTTATGAGGCAGTTATACTAAAATGTTACATAATAGATATAAAATGATAGTATTACAAAAACAAATTTTCTATTAAGATGGGCTTAGAAAATTTAACATAGTTTCCTATACATCCAATGAAATATTGTTTTGATGTAACCTAGGCCCAAAACTAGTTATCAAGAGATCTCCTAATAGTAAACTTAGGAGAAGGACTGAACCAGTGTTATATTAACCATATTATATGATGTGCTGGGATATTTTCTCTTAGCGTGTTTCCATTTCCCATATACCATTTCCTTGTTGTCTGTTGCCAGGATTGTTGCTGTTGTCCCTCCCGCCCCCTTATAGTTATTGTGGTTGTTGCCGCTCTCGACGCTTCCTGGGCGAGGACAATGCACTGCCTTGACTTCTGATGTGGGAATGGGGAAGGATCTGGAGCCGGAGCTGGGCTGTTGTCACTCCTTGGGCTCGTGCTTTGTTTTCGTGTCTCTTTTGGTGAAGGCCATCATCGTGGTTATGTAATAACAGTGCCCGCCATAGGCCGAAATTGGGTAAAGTTAGATTTATATCTCGTGGCGTTTGCTGTGTGATTACTCATACGCCCCGTGGCAGGAGCAAACAGAGGAGTAGCGGCACTGGGAGTCAGCGACACTTACCCAAATTGAGCACTCGTTTTGGTTTTGGCCATGGCGCCTTTTGCCTTCTGCCTTCTGCCTCCGTGCGGCTTCGTCATCAACCGCTTTCGGATACGGATTCGGTATCGGCTGACGAATCGGATCGCAGATACTTCGGCCTTTCGCCTTTCCGACCTCCATGGCATCTGGTCGTAGTGCCAGCCCTCATTTGGCAACGAAGCTCCGACCAGGCAGCACGGCAGCATGTGGCACAACCGGAGAAAGTAGGAAAAACAAACGTAGTAGAGGATTGGAAAACCCAAACCCACAACGACGGTGGCCAGGGAAAAATGCCAAAAAACCTGGTGGAAAAGTTCCTGACCATTCTGTTGAGACGCAAGGAGTGCTAGGATCAAGTGTTTGTGTAAGCAAAGCGGATACTATATATATACCTTCATGTTTGTATCACCGAAACATAGACCAACTGGCGCTGGACTGTCTGGCGCCAGAGTTTGGGGTTGTGATGGTCGAGCTCGTTTCGGTTTGAGACTCCTTTGTCTGGGGAGAACTGCACTTTTCAGGGTTCGATCGCGCATATTTAATTGCTCTAAGGACAGTGTCAATTAAATTTTCATCAGCAGCAACATTCAATCGATAGGAGTAGTTACATAAGTTAGGAGGGGGTAATCGATTAGGCAAGGTCACATAAAAATGGACTCCGACTCATCCCCACTCTCGTACTTTTGTCACCCTTTCCAATCAATAGCCATCAAGATGATGTCCGAATACTGGATTATCTCGGCCCCTGGCGACAAGACCTGCCAGCAGACGTACGACACGATGAACAACCTGACCAGCAAGCAACACAACCTGTGCAATAACTACAAGTTCCATATACCAGACCTCAAGGTGAGTTACGTAGTTATCCTCAGGGATCTCAAGAATTCGCCTATAAATTTTAGAAATATTACAAGTTTCCTATAAACTTACATTGGTATCATGTTCTAATCCTTACTTTTACCCATAGGTCGGCACCCTGGACCAACTGGTGGGCCTCTCCGATGATCTGGGCAAGCTGGACACCTATGTGGAGCAGATCACCCGCAAGGTGGCCAACTACCTGGGCGAGGTGCTGGAGGATCAGCGGGACAAGCTCCACGAGAACCTGATGGCCAACAACAGTAAGTCGTCTGCCTGCCACCATTTAAGTTGTATTAGCCTAGCTTAGTCTAGCTTAGCTTAGTTCCGTTTAGTTTAGTTTAGTTTAGTTTTAGTTAACGTGGTTAGGTGATGCCTGTCCCGAGTCACGAATCTATATCGTTTTGGTTCTTTAGTTATATTTCTAAGCAGTTCTTCTGACCGTAGACACTTTTGAATCGGAATGCTCAGATATAATCGTACCATGTGTATTGCCACATCTATTGTTTACCCACAACTGTTCTGTATTAACTAACAAACCAGTGAGATATTCGAATCGAAATCCCTTTTTTCCCAGCCGCCGAGGGGCTGTTAGAACTCGGTTACTATGGAATGTTTTGATCTATCTATGTCTCTATCTGAGAAAAGCTCTACCTAACTAACACGAATCCCGTCTATTTCCATCACGATTTTATATATATGCCTTAACCGTAGTTCAAGATTATGCGAGAAAGAGATTTAAAAACTAATCGATTTTCAGCCGAAACCCTCAGGCCTTACATTTATTTTGTTCGAGTTTCTAGGCCTTTTACGTTTTTTGTTCTCCAACATTGTTTTCCCTTACACTCCTGGGTTCACTTTAATTTTTAGTTTGATCTTTTATTTGAGTTTTCTTTTTGATTTTGTTGAACTCATGCGCACAATCATCACCACTGAAAAGAAGGATATTACGTAGGCATCTAGTTCGAGTTGGTCTGAAAATATCTAGTGCCATCCAACAACAATGGAATTAAAGTTTGCGGCCAACAAAAAAAGATATCAAATGAAAAGAGTTGAAAGAAAAAGAAATTAGCCGAATGGGAATTTGCGTTGTTTATTTTGTGTTGCGTTTGTTGTACATTTTAATACGCACCGAGCTCTCACACGCTATATAAATCTAAAACTATACTATACTATACTATGCCAGCTGAGACACACACAGATACACACACACACCAGCGTATTTTTGGCCCCGTTCAAGGGCGCCCAAATCCCCGGTCAATTACTCCGTGCTCTCGGTCGAAGGTCGCCCTCTCCCAACCTATAAAAGAAAAAAAACTATATATATATTATAACACCATGCCAAACAATACAGTACAGTGAACACTTTGTATATTTTACATGAATTGTTGTACGTTTCTTTTCGGTTTTCGATACGATTGAGTTGGACAAGTTATTTGTGGTTTTCCCTCATTTGAAAGCCCATTAGTTTTTAAATCATTCACCGCAATAAAAATCAATTACTAAAAAAAAATAGAACGAGAAAAAGATACAAAGAGGAAAGCTAATGTGTAAAGATATAGAACCATAAACTGCATATACAACTATTTATATATAAATACTTGACTATGAACTTTGGCGCGAGTGTCGTTCCCTCATACTTAATTTTTATTTTGAGTTTACATGTGCTTTTATTTGTATAACTAACTATGTAAGTGCGTGCGTGTAAAAGTTGGCCAACTTTTGTACTGTACATATATGTATATCCTATATAGACTGTTGTAACTGTTGTGTGTGTGTGCCTGATTGCAGTGTGTGTGCGTGTGTATCTGTGTTGTCTCATTTGCTCACCTGCATTGAACCGCTTGGAAAAACGCTTATTTTGTACCATTTCCCCGGAAAACCCACTCACACACACAAGAGATCTATAGAGATGCACTTCAAAGGACCTTTTCCTTGAGAGAGACTGTGTGTTTGAGTGGGCTGATGGGTTGCATAAGTCGTGTGTCTGTGTGTGCTCCTGTATTCATATCCATCGCATTTTGCTAATTGGGAAAGATGGGAGATACTTGCAATTAGAGCTAATTGGTAACGTGTGGAAAGCACGAAAGCAACAACAACGACAACGAAACGCTTTTACACTGCAAACAAAATACCAGAGTACCAAAATGAAAGCACAAAATGAGACGCAAACATCTATCAGCCATTGGGATCACTGAGTTCCCCCGATTACATTTTATGTTCCACTGTTGTTCCATGGGATGCCATTCAGTTCCGATTCCTTTTCGCATTCGCACACAAAACCAAGAAACTAAACCCAATCCGCACACATGAGTTTTAAATTATTTACATTTTTCTCTCTCATATGATTTTCCTTATTTATTTTTAACGATATTTACAAATCGATAAGTATAATTTTGGTTTCGCTTTTGGTTCACGATGATAGCGATGATAACCCAGAAAGAGTACGGTTTTAGAGTTACGAAAGCAGATTGTGTAGGCAAATCGTGAGGTCTAGCCCCTAAATGTATGCTATATAGTTTTACTTTTAATTTATTTCGACCGTCCCGCCCGGAAATCGAGCCGAAATCGAATGGGAAGGGAGATCCTAGCTAAGACTAAGTCTGCAACCGAATCTAAATGCCTTGTGTTGTATTGTCTGTATCGGTAATTGAATCGCCACCACCACCAAAAAAAAAAACACACGAATCTTCATCTCAAACCGAAACCCGATCGCCATCCGAATGAATCCTGAATCGCCTTCGACCTCGAATGAAACGAACCGAACCGAATCGAATCCCGAATGAATCTCGCGCGGATGCAGGTCCTGGGCCACCCGACGACAGCATGCCGTGTCGCCACCACCAGCGCATCAAGCATCTCAGCCTGCGACACCAGCGAAAACACCAGCACACGCACCACCAAAACAAACCCCAACACTACCATCACCACCACCATCACCACCAGCTGCCGCAGGATCTCAAGGGTAAATCCGCAGTCACCTGTTCTCCCGCCACTCCTCCTGCTCCTGCGCACCCCAATCTTCCTGCTGCTCCAGCGCCCGCCTGTGCCTGCGATGCCCTAGCCCCAGGATCCGTATCCGGCGGCAGCCTAACTAACCTGTCGACAAGCCACGAGCCGGAGACGGAGCCGGAGTTCGATGCCTGCCCGTGCGACGAGTGCTTCGCCTGTGCCCCGCCCAGCACCAGTGCCACGGCCAGCACGCTCCTGGCGGATGAGTGCTACTCGCAGACCGCCTCCTCCATGCTGAGCGCCACGAGGTGTGCGTTGTCCACGGTGGCGGCCATTGCCACTGGGAGCGGATTGGGCAGTGGGCCGAGCACCAGTGCAGCGGCCGCTGCGGCTGCCTCCTCCTCCTCGGGAGGGGGTCCCGCCTCCTGCTCGACGATCTGCTCCTCGGCATACTTCTCCACGTCGGCGCCCACGACCAGCAGCTCGGTGCACAGCAGCATGTCCCGCTCTAACAGCAAGCGGCTGAATAACAACACTTGCAGCATCAACAATAACAAGCTCAGCTTCCGCAGCGGCAGTCATGTGAGCCAGTTGCACCTGGCCACTCAGCATCCGCAGCAGCCACAGCAGCCGCACCATTCGCATCCGCATCCGCATCCTCCTCCTCCAGTGCATGCCAATCCGCTGCAGTCGCCCACACAAAAGTCCATGTCGGAGGACGAGGAGGGCGATGCGATCCCCAATGCCCCCGAAGATGGGGAGACGGACGAGGACCCCAAGAGTCCGCACAGTGTGCAGTCCGATCTGTCGGACACCTTCGACTGGTGGTTCAATAAGCCCAAGCGTAACTCTAAGAAGAGCAGGTATCTTATCATCGCATTACCTACTTTGTAGAACGTTGCCAAATCGCCAGCACCCCAGACAAAAAAAAAAACAAACCAAAACCAGATCAAAAAAAAAACTATATAAGCCAGTCACCCGCTGTCATCCCGCTAAAGCTAAAAAGCCAAAAGAACACCACCACACCACCCAAACCAAAAACACAACAAAGCCACACTACCTACACATGCTGTAAAAACACAAGATACAACACCACACTGAAACAATGGCGCACCCGCTTTGCCTGCCCTCATCCAAAAAACCAAAAAGAATACCCCAAAAACCACACTTTACACCAGCAATATGAAACCCAGAAAATCCATAAATGTTTGAGTTGATTAAGAACCGAGAACCGAGTTAATTGCAATAATAATGTATTTCTTTTTTAAATCACTCCCCATCGACCATCGCACATTTGCCCACCCAATCACACGATCACAAAATCATCCAATCACCAAATCAAACCGCCATGCCGCCACACGAACAGTGCACAACAGCAACACGAGACACCACAGCAACAGACGCAACAGCAACCACTGACCCCACAGCAACATCAACACCAACAGACACAACAACAACATCAACAACACCAGAACCAGAACCAGAACCCATACCAGAACCAATACCAAAACCAATACCAATACCAAAACCAGTACCAAAACCAACACCTATCCAAAGCAATGACATTTTGGCATCAAGCATCGACCACACCGCGCTCTAGTTATCGCTCTTTCTTCAATTCTCTTGCCGATCAAATTTATAGCAAACGTTCTACACCGAGTCAATTAAATATAAACAATGGATTTAATTTAACACCAACACATAGATCGTCTCCAGTGAGTAGTTGTTGTGGCAGTAGTAGCCAGGGGCGATCCAGTCCGGACACGGATCCCGCCGAGCCGCCCGAGTTTCCGCTGAGTCCAGGTTAGCATGCCCGGGTTGGGCCCGGTCTGGTCACCGGTCATCCGAACCGCACCGCACCGACCCAATCCAATCTAATCCTTTGATGATCTCTTGATCGACGTTGACATATACCTACTATAAGTGTACATGTTGATGTTGCCGTTGCTCTCCCGTTTCCCTAAGTTTCGTTTCGTTTATCCTCTTATTTTCTACGATTCTGATTCTGATTCTGATTCTTATGTTTCTGATTCTGATTCTGATTTACCATTATTGTTTCTTGAGCAACTTGATGTTTCCTGATAAAAAAAATATCACACACACCTATATCTCAACCACTCTCCACTTTCTTTGATCTTTGATCTTTCGTCAACTCGCGGCAGTAAAAATTGCAAACGCCGAGGCGTTCTATATGTTCTATCTTTTTGTTGAATATATATATATATATTTGCCCAGTGACCGTACCGAAGTTCTTCCTTCTTTCGCCACTTTTGATTTGCCTTTCACTCCTTTCTCTGTGGTATTTGCAAACGCCTTTTGTTTGCGCTTTCGTTTTGCTTTCTCGCGATTTGACTATGAATATTTGACTATATAAATACACGGATCTGTTGATTATTTGTACCAGTGTAAAAGCGATTATGTTGTTCTTTCAGTGTACGCTCACCACAAATCACCAAATGTTGTTCTGCGCTCCACCATCATTACAGCCCACGATTAACGCCGATACCCATTAAGCTATATTCAGCTATATCACCCCAAAAAAAAATATAATCACCAACAAATAAACTAAATCTAATAACTGCAGCTTTGCCCAGCGCCAAATGTTGATCAATCTCTGAGTTACTGTTTGCTTTGTTCGCATTTTAATTTATCCTTTGAGTGTCTATATATGTATACTTATATATCACACAGCATAATGTTTTCAAAGTCCAGCTAACGTGTTGTGCCGTGTGACACGAAAGGTATTTCCAATTGCGACTAATAAGCGTAGACCCGAATCCCCCGTAATCCCCGTAGCCCCTGTAAATGCATCCAAAATTGTTCGTTTATCGATGTTCCTTTTAATATTAACCTATATAACCCGTAAGTGTGCGTGTGTGTGTCTGAGTAAACCTAATTACTATGTTATGTGCGTCCAATCTGACTATAACTAACCAGCATTTTTCAGTTACCTTATTTTACTTTATTTATATAACCTTAATTTTAAATAGCTTTCGAGTCTAGTTTCCTTCAAACTAATTCTATTCAACTTATAGATCAATTACTATGTATTTTTTCGATTTCGTTTTGTACTTAAACATTAATTGAACAACCCGTTTGTTCTGCTAGTCAACTAAGTGAATTATTTTACTTTGTGATGGTCGGATTTAACTAATACTGAGTTTACCCCTATCAAAATAGCCGAACTGCCGCAGTACTTGACCCGCTTCCAATGGGATATGGCCAAGTACCCGATCAAGCAGTCGCTGCGCAACATCGCCGACATTATCTCCAAGCAGATCGGCCAGATCGATGGCGATCTGAAGACCAAGTCCCAGGCCTACAACAACCTCAAGGGAAATCTGCAGAACCTGGAAAAGAAGAAGACGTAAGTGGATATGAGTAGATCATTAAAATGATATAATAAAAATCACAATCTAATGATTATTTTTTTCAAGCTTTAGCGCTTTAAAAATAATCATTAATTTTTAAAGAACCTTAAAAGAAGGGCGTGATCTTGTCATATGTTGATTATTAAACGTATTATAACGAAGTATATTTTAAAATGGAATATAAAAATGTCTTAAAAATTCAGAAGTAGATTTCCTTGGTTCGTCTTGATTCACTTATTAAGATATCATCAAGATATCATCATTCATACAAATCATCACAAAATAAGTATACCGACATTGATTTTTATTGAAAAATATCTCTAAAAAAATAATCATTATTTCTGTATATTGATATTTCATTATCATAAATGAATTATCTTTGGATTAAGTGATAGTTGTAGATAATAGATAGTTATTATTCAAAATATTAATATACATTTTTTTTGCGCTACAGTGGCAGCTTGCTGACCAGGAATCTGGCTGACTTGGTCAAGAAGGAGCACTTCATCCTGGATTCGGAATACCTGACCACCCTGCTGGTCATTGTACCCAAGTAAGTTATAAATTGTACTGTTCTATAAATCAAAGATATTAAAGAATACTTTTTTTTGCAGGGTCATGGCCAATGACTGGTTGACCAACTACGAGAAGATCACCGACATGATCGTGCCCCGCTCCTCGCAGCTCATCCAGGAGGACAGCGACTACTGCCTCTTCAACGTGACGCTCTTCAAGAAGGTGGCCGAGGAGTTCAAGCTCCATGCCCGCGAGCGCAAGTTCATTGTGCGTGACTTTGTCTACAACGAGGAGGAGCTGGCCGCCGGCAAGAACGAGATGACCAAGCTGATGACGGACAAGAAGAAGCAGTTTGTGCGTAGCAAGACTATAATATATCCTTAGGGAATGATTCTAACACCATAATCCATTGTAGGGTCCCCTGGTTCGCTGGCTGAAGGTGAACTTCAGCGAGGCTTTCTGCGCCCTGATCCACGTGAAGGCCCTGCGTGTGTTTGTGGAATCCGTGCTGAGGTATACCACCATATAAAAATCCATTTACCAGTGGTAGTAATCAGGGATTTTTTGTATCCACAGATACGGCCTGCCCGTCAACTTCCAGGCCATCCTGATCGAGCCCAACAAGAAGAGCGTGAAGCGTCTGCGCGATGTGCTCAACCAGCTGTACGGTCACCTGGATGGTGCCTCCGCCGGCGGTGCTGTCAGCAGTGCTGATGTGGGTTCACCACCATAAACTATTAACCTTCACAGAACTAATATTGTATTATTCCTATCATCCCACAGAACGTGGACATCCCCGGCCTGGGCTTTGGCCAGTCCGAGTACTTCCCCTATGTGTTCTACAAGGTCAACATCGATATGGTGGAGCAGGCCAAGGTCTAAGATCGCCCGCCGTCCCCAACATTGCATACATCCAGCCACACAAAATACACTTTAATACAAAACCAATCAACTTAAAATCAGCTGAACCATTCGCAGACATCTAATGAAACAAAATTAATAGATTACTTTAAATAATTTTAGTCATTGTTATCTAATTATTGTTGTTATTTATGTTGCGCGCTGCCGAATATCTGTTTCAAATCAACTTCCGGTTCGAGAAATCGAGACGCGCGTCAACCAACCGAAAAAAGAGATCGATTACAGTCATCCCAGATCTTGTAGAACTTCCCGATTGTTCTTTGTTCCCCCTTCAGTTCGCTAAACAGTATTTTATGTTTTTCTTATGCCCTACTATGATTATGATATGATATGATGAATGAACAGAGTGTTTGACCCGTAGCCAAATTTACACACATTGTCGCTGAAGCCCCGGCTTTAATTCTCCCTTTTCGTTTGTTTTTTGGTAGCTATACAATAAACATTTGAGTTACATTTTGTTTTTACAAACATTTCGTCTCGTTTCGTGCTTGTCTTGTGCTCCACTTGGTATCTGTATCCGTGACTAACAGCCAACATACAAGAAACATGCCCAAAATAAATTTAAGCCCAAAAATGGTGTCGCAAATCGCAAAAAAAACAGAACGTTTCCCAACGGAACTACTTAATTGCGCTAACAAATTTCCGAAGCAATGGTACGTTTCCAGTAAAGACAAACTATTAACTAACGGAAGTATTGTATTTATAAATGTTGCCTAGATATCGAAAGTCTATAAACAAAAATTCTGCGCGCTGTTTGCATACAAACTACTAATCGCTGAGGATAACCGCTCGAGCATTTCGTGGTTCTGTCTGTCTTGTTTAACCCCGCGTGTGCGTTAACCCACTAAAAAACAAAAAACAAACCACCAGCAGCGATCGAGGGTCTATACCACATGAGATATGAACAATAATATTCTATTCGTATGTAAAGTTTTTCAGTTTTTCCTATTGCTAATTCGAGAATTGTTTACCGAGTTAAGCGAAACGTGAGAGAGATACAGTATCTATATATAAATATTTTAAAGTTATGCATACTATGTGTAAAAAGAAACGAAAGAAACCATGTAAATGTCATTGCGTTATATAAGGTGCAATTAAGCCATTCTTGTAAATAATTATAAAGAAAGAAAGACATTCCCAACTTTGTTTTGTTATCAATTGATTTTGAGCTGGAGCCGAGTCCAGTTCGCATTTATTCAATACTTTTATTCTAAAACTAAGGGATAAAACGCTTTTTAACTTTCACAGATTAGATTTACTCCAAAGAAAATAATTCTTTTAGAGATATAATTTTGAAAAATTGCTTTAAGTATGAAAATGGATTTATAAATGATAGTATTAAACAATTGTATGAGCTTGATCGAATTCTGTGAAAGTGAAAAAAAGCCTTTAAATATTTTAAATACCTATCTTTAGGTGCTAGATCTCCTGTTTGGGCTTGTTTTGCGAGGAGGCGTTGCGCGATATCTTCAGAATATTGGGGGGCTTGGGCTGGTTCTTATCCGCCTCGTATTGGGCGCGGTGCAATCGCTGGCGATGCTTGTACATGTTGGCGCTGCAGAAGAATGTCATCGGGCAATTCGGACAGGTGTATAGGACCTCGCCGGTGTGTGTGGATGTGTGTTCCTGCAGGGCATACAACAGAGTGATTAAAAAAAGTTTTTTAGAGGGCATTTTGAACTCACCTTCAGCTCCTGCGGCCGTTTGAAGGCCTTTTCGCACATGGTGCACTTGAACTTGCGCTCGCACTCGTGATTGTGGTAGATGTGACGCCTGAGAGCCCTGGCATTCGGCGACACCTTGGCGCAAATGTGGCAGCGATGCTCGCCCGCACTCTCCACATGGATGCTCTTCATGTGCTGCTTCAAGCCGGTCATGCCCTTTAGCCAGGCGCCACAAATCTGGCACTGCTTCAGCTCTGGCTCCGGCCTCGGCTTGTCCGAATGCATCAGTTCCTGGTGCTTCTTCAGGATGATCTTGGTGCGCATCTGCTTGCCGCACTTGTCGCAGATGATGGTGCTCTCTGGGTCGTGCATGGAGCTCATGTGGTTCTTCAGCTTGCGCTCGGTGAGGAATCTATGGGAGAATGAAAAATTAAGATCAGACCGAGAGTGAAAGGATGACGAGAAGTAAACCCACTTTTTATTGCACTCAGAACAGGTGAACTTGAACTCCGACTTGGGCACATGCTTGTTCAGCTTGTGGTAGTCGATGGCCGTCTTGCTGAGGAAGGTCTTCGAGCACAGGTCGCAGCTGAAGGTCAGCTTGATTGCTGGATCCATGTGCACCTGCTGGTGGGATTCCAGGTGCCGTGAGTTCTGGAATGCCTTTTCGCAGACGCTGCACTTAAAGTGCTCCGGATTCCAATGGACGAGCACATGCTCGGCAAGCACTTTGCGCTGCGTGAACTTGCGGCCACAGCACATCATGTAGCCGGGATCCACCTGGTGGGTCAGTCGGTGGTGGCGCTGCATCTCGGTGAAGTTATGTACCAACAGATTACAGATAGCACAAGGCAGCACGCTGGTAAAGAACTTGGCAATGATGACGTCGTACTCCTCCTGCTGTTTCTTGCGCTGCTCCAGCAGTTCGCGGGACATGCGCACTTTCGGCTCCGCCGGTTTCGTCCGCTTCTTGTACTTCTTGGGCCGCACCACCGTTCTCTTGGGCAGCACGGCAAACTCCTGCTTTTCGGGATTGTCAAGCTCAAAGTCTGAGTCAGAGCCTCCGCTGCCTCCGTAGTTGTCGTCGGAGGAGTCATCGCTTTGCAACAGGCCTGAGAAGTCGGGGTCCGCGGCCTCATCCAAGAACTCGTCGAGCTCCTCTGCCTTAAGGTCAAGTTTGATGTCCTCTTTCGGTTTCTGGGCAGGGGCAATGGCTGTGTCTGCTTTCCGGGGACGTCCGCGTCTCTTTTTGGGTGGCGCCGGCTCTGCAGTTGCTTCTGCGTCATCCTCATCCTTATCCTTTTCCCCAGACGATCCTTCCTCTGCCTTTAAACGCTTCCTCAGGCGTCTGGCTGTGCCTTCCACTGGATCCTGAGATTCTTGCGTGTTGGCTGTGCTCTCGAGGATCTCGATGCGGGGTAGGTGGTCGAGTTCGTGCTCCTCTATCTTGACCTCCGGGTAGAAGAAGTCCCGCCCACCAAGCTGTTCCGGTGGCTCCTGCAACCGTTCCTCCTCCAGAGTTGGCAGCTTAACAGTTTCCGGAAAGGCGGAGGTTCCCTGTGTGAGGGGATCATCCTCCATGAGCAGCACTTTGGTTTCTTGCAAGGAATGCTGCGCTGCACTCACGAACTCGTGCAATGTGTGAAAGTCGGAGACGGTTTTCCAGCAGCGCCCGCAGATCCTTTCGTGGCTGTCCTTGGAGATCTGGAAGGGAAAGTGCTGGTTGACGATCCTGGCCACCTCCAGTTGGACGGCCCGCGCGGACTGCACGTCTATGTAGTCCCCCATCATGGCCGGATACTCGCACATGCAGAGTAAGCAGCACGAAGTGGAATCTGTTGTAGATAGTTAAAAACAATGTTGACAATTTAGCATCACCATCTTGGGCAGAAACGGCTTTCTATTTTAGATTCCTTCAATGCTACAAGCTTACCCATTGCGATTTTTAGCCTTTGTTATTGGTAGTGGTTAGCCATCTAAAGATTTGATTGTAAAATGCAGTTCTAATTTGTTTAAAAACGAAGTGCACTCAAAACGCCAGCTGTTTTTGCAGTTCACAATAGCAGCGCAAGCTGCGGCCGTTTAGCAACACTGCCGATAACGATAGCTGTTATCGGTGTGTGCTGCCAAGAGCTGGTCACTCTATAGGTTGTTAAAAAAAACTTTTTGTTATTATTTACCTTTTTAAGGAAAGTTAAACTGCAATTGCACAGGATCTGAGTTCTTTTAACAAAAAAGACGAAGGGAAACACTCCAGCACCAAAAAATCTCAACAGCAGGTGGGGAAATAGAGTTAACTGGACAGAAGCCCATGCGACCATTTGTTTACGTTTTTAAACATGTCGGATTCTAAGAAAGTTGTGGTAAGGCTATATTACTCACCCAAAGGTTACTTTCACTTATCCTACTCGCCTTTTTAGCCCGATGAACCCTTTGAAGCCGAAACCTTCGCCGTGGAGCTCAAGGAAGCCATTTGGTACACCATCGGCGAGCTGGTGGAGATGTTGGAGTGTCCAGGATGTGGAATATCCATGGTGTCGTTCAAAAACCGCTTTGCCCACGTCAAGAAGTGCTTCAGCATTAAGCGAAGAGGTCCTTTGTACAGGATTTACGGGTATGCCGAGTGCAAGTGTGGCCTACTCATTGCAGACACGGTTAAGGCTCAGAAACTGCATTGTTGTTCGGTAATTAAGCCCGGAATTATGACTTTTCAAGCACTAAGATGTATCTGTTTATTCAGGGTAAAGTTCGCCCCTGGAAGCCACCCAAACATACGGAACATATCCTACCAGATAGTACTGCGTATGATTCACCTGCACCTCCTGGACAACTAATAATAAAAAGCGAACCTTGCCAGCCCACTGGAAAAACCTGGATTCGCAACTTTATCAGCCCCATTAAGCAGATGAATGTTTCATCCCTAGACGTTTCTTATTCCAATAAGCCAACGTCAAGACCACGCGTCCGTAATTTTGACAGATCATCCCGAAAACAGGCGCCAAAAGAAGTCTGTGTGTACTCTATAATTAAAAAGAATGGTGTAATCTCAGTTGCGGGAAGATCCATTTTGCAACAGCGAGGAAGTAACGAAAACCCTGTCATAATTAAAAAGCGAAGACTGCGACTACCCGTAGTCAGTCAAAATGCCAAGGCGTGACCTTTTCTTCACACAAAATAGATCTTAATTATTAGTAAAGTTACCAGTAAGTCATATCCTCATTGAATCTGTATTAGGTCGACTATTTTGCTTAAGAACTTCTGCTTAGTTACATATCGAATCGTTGTGAATTTGTTAGATTTAAGTTTAAATGCAGTGCACTATTCATTTTGACAAGTTTTTTATTTAATCTTTATTTATTACAATAATATATGTGCTCAATTTTCCTTTTATTTTACTAAGTCCTATAAGAACCCTTTAATATTTAGCTTGCTAAAAAGTATAGTGTAGAATATAAGTTATATTGCTAGATATAGCATTAATTAATGTCACAAGAAAACAATGAATTAATATATTACTTATCTTGCAAAAGAAACAGCAGACATGATAAACGCCTAGGATTTTTACTATATATTTTTATACTTTATCACTAATCAATTTTAATTGATGATAGGGGATGGTTTTCCTATAGTTAGGGTAGTTTTTTAAATTAAGCGCTCCCGTGTTTTTAGTCGAGGGTTTCGGTTAGTTTGCCCTCGCTTTTCACCACCTGGTCACACTTCCGCGCGAGCCAAAACAAAATCCACGTAAAAAGGTTGATATCCCGGCGTTTATTTATAAATTATCCGATGTCAGCCGCCAGGACCCAGGAATACGACTGCACCACGAAGTGCAGACACCGCCAGCATGGAAACACCATCACCGCCGCGCTGACGAAGCGCTCCATTGACCACCAGAAGCTGGCGGCTTTTATCTTCAAGACGTGCGGAAATTTCGCCAATATTCTGGACGACCTGGTGGGTGGTGAAATAGTTATACCCCTACAAGGTCTTTAATGTGAAGTACATATTTATTTATCTCCTAATCATAGGGTCGATCGGCAGTGCACATGTCTGCCTCCACGGCGCGCTACGAGATTCTGGAGTGGCTGCTCAACCATGGAGCCTACATTAATGGTCAGGATTACGAATCGGGGAGTAGTCCATTGCATAGAGCCCTGTACTACGGCTCCATAGATTGCGCCGTCCTGCTGCTTCGCTACGGGGCCAGTTTGGAGCTCCTGGATGAGGACACCAGGTGTCCCCTCCAAGCCATTTGCCGGAAGTGCGATGATGAAGACTTTGCCACGGATTCCCAGTGAGTGAAGTGCAGAAATCTGATAATTTCCATTATGCCAACTTACATATGTCTAGGAACGATGTCCTGGTTTGGGGCTCCAATAAGAACTACAACCTGGGCATTGGCAACGAGCAGAACACCAATGCCCCGCAGGCGGTGGACTTCTTCCGCAAGTCCAACCTGTTTCTGGAACAGGTGGCCCTGGGCGCCTACCACAGTCTGTTCTGCGACAAGAAGGGTCACCTGTACGCCGTGGGGCACGGCAAAGGCGGTCGCCTAGGCATTGGAATGGAGAACAGCCTGCCTGCCCCCAAGAGGGTGAAGGTTTCTTCAAAACTAGGCGACGACTCCATACGGGACATCAGTGTGTCCCGCCAGCACTCGCTGGTGCTCACGCAGCGCTCGCTGGTTTTCGCCTGCGGCCTGAATACAGACCATCAGCTGGGCGTGCGTGATGCCGGCGAGCACCTCACCCAGTTCAAGGAAGTGGTCGCCTTGCGTGACAAAGGTGCCAGCGATCTGGTGCGCGTGATCGCCTGCGATCAGCACTCGATCGCCTACGGCAGCAGGTGTGTTTACGTCTGGGGGGCCAATCAGGGCCAGTTTGGCATCAGTGCTAACACGCCGAGCATTATGGTGCCCACACTGGTGAGTTATTGCCATGTATCTTGGGTAGTCTATAATGGTCTTTCCTGCAGATCAAGCTGCCCGCCAGGACTAAAATTTGTTTTGTGGAGGCCAACAATGCAGCCACGGTAATTTACAGCGAGGAGAAGATGATTACCCTTTACTATGCAGACAAAACTAGATATATTAAGACGCCCAAGTGAGTTCGCTTCCTTATAATGGCGTTTTATATTACAAATATGAAACCCAACCAGCTACGAAGATCTCAAGAGCATATCGGTGATGGGTGGCAACCTAAAGAACTCCACCAAAGGCTCGGCGGCGGCTCTTAAGCTATTGATGCTCACTGAGACGAATGTGGTTTACCTATGGTACGAGAATACTCAACAGTTTTACAGGTAAGCCACTTAAGGCCAGTTTAAATCCCTTTAATATATATGTCCGTCCCTTGCAGGTGTAATTTTTCACCCATACGCCTGCCCCAAATCAAGAAAATCCTTTACAAGTGCAATCAAGTAATGGTTCTCTCCGGAGATGGCTGCGTTTATCGGGGGAAGTGCAATCAGATCGCCTTGCCGGCTTCAGGACTGCAGGAAAAATCCCGCGGCAATCTGGACATCTGGCAGGACAACGATCAGAACAAAACGGAAATCTCCCGGGAGCATGTGATCCGCATCGAGCTGCAGCGAGTGCCGAACATCGACCGAGCCAACGACATATTTTGCGACGAAGGATTCTCCTCCTTTGCCGTTCTGCAGGAGTCGCATGCCAAATACTTCCGAAAGCCCACACTGCCGCGCAGGGAGCACAGTTTCAAGAAGTTACTGCACGAGACCAGCGACTGTGATGCTGTCCACGATGTTGTGTTCCATGTGGATGGCGAGAAGTTCGCGGCCCACAAGTTCATAATTTACAGTCGGGCTCCAGGTCTAAGGGAGCTCATACGCTGCTATCTGGACAAGGATATCTATCTGAATTTGGAGCATTTAACGGGGAAGATGTTTGAGTTGATTCTAAAGTACATCTACACAAGCTACTGGCCAACAGAGGATGGTAAGCTAAGATTATAATCAAACAAGTTCCTATTGATAACCGAAATGTCTTATTTAGATATCGACTGCATCCAGCAAAGTCTGGGGCCCGCAAATCCTCAACATCGAACCCGCACCTGTGAGATGTTCCTGCCGCATCTGGAGAAGTTTCAACTAGTCGAACTGGCCAAGTACGTGCAAAGCTACGTGCGTGACCACCAATTCCCAATGGTCAATATCCGTCAGCGTTTTAGTCGCTTGCATCGCTCCGATTACCCGGAGCTTTACGATGTGAGGATTGTGTGCGAGGACGGAAAGATACTTGAGGCTCATAAATGCATGTTGGTGGCTCGTTTGGAGTACTTTGAGATGATGTTCATGCACTCGTGGGCGGAACGCTCTTCTGTCACTATGGAAGGAGTTCCCGCGGAGTATATGGAGCCGGTTTTGGACTACCTGTACAGTCTCGAAACTGAGACCTTCTGCAAGCAGGGTTACCTGGAGACCTTCCTCTACAATATGATCACCATATGCGACCAGTACTTTATAGAGTCCCTACAGAATGTGTGCGAGTCGCTCATCCTGGACAAAATTAGCATACGAAAGTGCGGCGAGATGCTCGAGTTTGCCGCCATGTACAACTGCAAACTGCTGCAGAAGGGCTGCATGGATTTCATTTGCCAAAACCTGGCAAGAGTGCTTTGCTATCGCAGTATTGAGCAGTGCGATGGGGAGACTCTGAAGTGCCTGAATGAGCACTACCGAAACATGTTTAAAAGGGTGTTTGATTATCGGCAAATAACCCCATTCTCAGAGGCTATAGAAGATGAGCTATTGCTCAGCTTTGTTGACGGGTGTGAAGTGGACCTGGATTACAGAATGGATGCGGTTTGTGTTTACCAATTCTTTCTTTGAATTCGTTCTAATTTGATTTTCTCTTAGGAATCCAAGCTCAAGCAGGCTGCCAAGCATAAACAGAAGGATTTGCGCAAGCAGGGTGCTCGTCACCAGTATGAGCAGCAGGCCATATCCAGTATGATGAGATCTCTGAGCGTCAGCGAATCGGCTCCAGGATTAGAGGTGCCCTCATCCCCCCAGGAAAGCGCTCGCAGCGAGGTTAAAAACTGGTCGCGAGTGGTGGACAAGAAGGATCAAAAGCGGAAACAAGCTGAAACTGCTTTAAAAGTAAACAACACTCTTAAGCAGGAAGAGCCACCAAATCCTGAATTGATCCCTATTGAAAGGAAGACCCTGAAGGAGCAAACGCCTCCGCCATCCTCCTCCGAAACGGAACCCACCACGCCGTTGAGCAAGAGTTACAACCTTGACTTTAGCTCATTGACGCCCCAGTCGCAGAAACTATCGCAAAAACAGCGGAAGCGTCTCTCCTCTGAATCGAAGAATTGGCGTGCCAATAACCCACCCCTGGTGGAACAACCAACCACTCCAGTGGCCGTTCCGAATGCCTGGGGAGTTACTGCCACTCCATCGGGTTCTTTCAATGACTCCTTCACGTCTCCAACCACTGGAAGCAGTTCGGATCCGACTTCATTCGCCAACATGATGAGGGGACAAGCTGCCTCCTCCACCACGCCCACGGAGCACGGGCAGAGCTTCTCGCGCATCTTGGCCGATGAGAGGAGACAGAGGGAAACTTACGAGAGGATGAGGAACAAATCGTTGGTTCACACGCAGATCGAGGAGACTGCCATTGCCGAGCTGAGGGAGTTCTACAATGTGGACAACATTGATGACGAGACTATAACCATTGCCCGCATGTCCAGGCCCAGTGACATCAACTTTAGCACCTGGCTGAGGCAGTAAATGGGTACAGGTAGCTTAGTAGTTTGAAGTGTTTGTCTTGTAGTTTTTGTTTTTATTTGAGTGTCCGAATTGTGAGGGATTTTGAAGCGTTCTACTGCGACCGGGGCATCAAATGTAGAACTCGGAGCCGCCTGCAAAGAAGCTCACGATGTACTCGTTCTGAACCAGATGCAATCGGGAATTGGACGGCACATTGGGTAACAAACTTTATTGCATGAGCACATAGATTATACAGATAGATATAGATATTTACAAGCTGGGGGACACACTCAACAATGAGGCAACAAGACAAGTGACGAATAAATAGCCATCTAAGCTAAGCTAAACCGAACCGAACCCGAAATAAACCCGTTGCTTATGCAAATGAGAACACGATGAACGAGGGAGATTGACACAGAGTGAGATGGGGGAGATGAAACTGGACGGGGGTATGGATGGAGGCGAGGGATGTGACTTGTTCAGAAGCACTCCTTACGAAAGGCGAATCCGTACTGGTCGCACTTGTATCTCAGCGTTTTGGCCAATTGTGGTGGGCCGCAGTAGAAGACGGTGACCTTGCCCTTTTGCTGGGCCTGCAGCTGCTTGAAGACCTTATCCCAGTTGGGTCTGCCGGCATTGGTGCGGGTCTTCAGGCCAGTGATCAG